ATTAAACAGTGTATACAAGGAATATGAATTGATAAAAAATAGTGCATTCAAGCAAAAGTTGAGTTGCACCTTAAAAAAAGCATCTTTGAAGCTTTAGCAGGGTTCTCCAAGGCTTCAGTGTATTTTCATTTATTTCTTTGCTTGTTTCTTCGACAATTACTCTAAAAGATAATTTTAAACACTTTTCTGTTCACATTCTTTGAGCGTAAATAAGAAAACTATAGTGCATCCGTTTCCCGATATTTTTTTGGTGAGAAGCGGTATTTCTTTTTTTTTAACTGCACCAACACGTTGAAGAACAAAAATTGCTTTAAATGCTTAAAAAAACACTTAAAAACCACTTTTTTTTATTTTGACTTATTCTATTCGTATTTTATATTTTCACAAATGCTCCTCACAGGCGCTGACGGCATTTTGTAAAATTGATTCTGGTAGTTCTGCTTTCCTTTTTCGTATTTTTGTGTTAAATGTGATTGTTGTGTTCTGTTGATACCTATTCATAGTTTTCGCGACTTTCTATTATGTTTCTCTTTTATGTTGTTTGGTAACGTGGCTTTGAGTATCTCTGCGTCAAAGAAAATTTTCGAAATCCTTAATTCTCTTTTTACATTCGGATTGAATTATATTTTATAACATTCTCCATTCAGGGATAAAAAATGTGTATTTTTGACATTTTGTTATAAAGAAAGCAGACTTCGTAAATGGCACATCGGATTTAAAAGAAAATCTTCAGTTTTCCAGATGTAACTAATTGAAGAATACATTTTCTAGTATCTAGCATATGTTGCAGATAATTTTCTGCAAAACAAACATATTTTTGAGTTATTAATGATGTTTAACGAAAGTGGGTAAATTTAGCGCCTATTTATTGTTCAGGCTCAGTTATAAACCAGCGGCCATATAATCGAATATTAAAGAATAAACGAAGCGTAACAAAATATACAACTTCCATGATGGACAAAACAGAAACTCCCGTAAATAAGCCAAGCAATCCGCCAAAATTGGCGAAGAAATCAGTGAATCCATACAGTTCGTGTCTTTTCGAAGTTACAAACTGAGATGCTTTGAAGTAGAGAGTGAGTTTGGAGAAACTCATTCTGTCAGGAGAATTCACCCAATTAAATCAGGAAATATTCTATTGGAAACGGACTTACTTGCTTTGAGCATATTTTGTGAATTTTTTGTTGTTAGGATACAGTAGTTTAAATGTTTCTGGCCAGTCCCATTTAGCTTGCGTAGTTTCTATGTGATAGGATAAGTCTGAGCAGATTGGCATACAATTGCATCTCGAACCCTATAAGGAAAAACAGGGAATTATTTAGATCTAAGTCATAGATAAATATATCACCTTTGGAGTTTTGGTCTTTTCATCGACCGCATCCTTTTTTTTCACATGCGTGATATAATGTTCAGCATTATACATGCATGGTGCTCGCTTTGAACCGCAAATTTTCGTACCATTTGTCCCTTAAAAAATCGGAATAAGTATGAATTCAGAATATAATTGTTTAATGTTAAACATGTTTCTTAAAAACGATTTTTAAATAATTTCCATTTTAATTTTTGCCACTTTTGTGCTTCCCACTAAATGTCTTTCTTGTTGGTTCTTCAAGTGTAGATAACCAAATGGTCAGTTATCGAGTTACAGGTTTTAGAAAGTGTTCTTCCAGGTCCAAGCATTATTTGTATCGTTGCAAATCTAAGTTATTTTCAGTTATTTTAGAGACAACAAACAACTTGGAGAGGCGTATATCCAAGGATGGACCGAGACACGCTGAACACCCGATGAAGAAAGGAACTGTTTTCTTTTTGTGGTTTCATTAGTTATTTTTTTTATTTATTCCAGTTTTGATTGTATATTCGTCAGATAAATTGAATCAATATCTTTTCAGTACAACCTGATCCCATTTTTAGTGTAGTTTTTTCGGTACTTTAACTCGATTGAGTACGATATTTCTTATTTCTTTATAAACACCCACATTCGAACCCTTGAAATAAGCTGACACATAAAACTACCTTTCTGAATAAATAATTTTTAGCTGATTATATAAATCGTATTAGATAATCTGAAAGTAATCAATTTTGCAAAATTTTTGAAAAAAAAATGTCACAGAAAAACCTAAAAATAGTTTTCTTAATCATTCAATAAAACCTTATTTAGTGGCAGTTCTTTAGACTTATAACGCACACTAAAATTGTTTCGAACTTAATGAGAGGCGTAGCATCTATTTACTTACATCTTCTTAGTTTGAGTTAGATTGCAAAACCAGCTGAAAACTTTTCCAAAATCAACTAAACGAATATAACTTTAATGTAAATTCTGCAAAAATTAGAGACAAATATAAGTGAAGAATTGCATTCGAAACTATTACATACAGCATACAATTTTCAAACCTAATTTACTTACTTGGCATATAAAAGTTGACACACCCACATGTTTTCAGAGTAAACGTGGTCAAGCAGTCCAAATTGCAATTTAGCTGAGAATAAATGTTGAAGTATTTTAAAGGGTTTGTATCTGTCTTGTCAATGTAACATTGCCTTTGATGAAGTTTGTATCGTGCTACATTTTGAGATGTTGTGATTTTGACCGGCTGAAGAGCGCCTAGCACCGTTTCATCGAGCGGTACCCTGAAATATTGATCTCCTACCAAGGGAAATCTCATAGGAGCATGAAGCATCACCTATAAGTTTTACATACAAATACATATACACAATATACAAAATAGAAATATAAAAGAGTCACGAAAATATATCTGTAACACGCATAATTCAAAACCTTTAAAATATTTTGATATGCTTTGTATTGACGTATTGACTTAAATACGGGGTGGCTCACGTCCCAAAACAATCAGTCAACATTAAAATCGAGCAACAATTTACATTGCTTACATTTACAGTGTCGAGTTGGCGAAGACGCAGCTTTATAAGTCCAGTATAAAGAAAACAAAGGCAACAATAGTTAATTTTTTTTTAATTTGTCCAATTTTGCTCTTTGCGGATTAACACACTTGTGATTATCATATTTTATTTTCCTTTCCTGGATTTTGAATTATTTTTTATATTTTGAACATTTTCAGTTTAACGCAGTTTAACAGGAAAATGTAATCAAATGCACAACAATAAATCCGACTATTAATGCGTTTAATTAATTTGTTTCTGGCTGAACCACTGTTGGATTTGCTTTCCAAATGCGAATTTTTGAAGACAAACTCCAGATGGCTGATGCTGTGAAAGGCGAGACGAAAACATTTTTGAATAATAAAATCTGCAGGTCGAATAATTTATTTAAACAAAATTGTCTGCAGAGCTGAAAGTTAAGAGTCTTTCTTTGTATTGTCGTATATTCAAGTAACATTATTGATACAATGTGTACTTTTCATTAAATGATTGTAAACAAGATCTGCTGGATATTTAGGCATTTAATCAAATTAATTAATTAATTTAATAAAAAGTTTCTTCTTCTGCTAGTTAAGCAATAAAATATTATCTTACAAAATTTAGGAGTTTGCTTTTGCGACATTTCATATAACTTACTGTACCTTAAATCCATGTATTCCGTTCTTGCAAACTGGGTTTAGATCGTCCTTATTAGTAACGAGTGTTACTTCAAATGCGTTTTTTACGCCCGCAAAATTTGCTCTCCATGGATAAGTTTCCTCATCTAACTTGATGCCCTGATGATGATTTACTGGCTGATCAACATAGCCCTCCTCCACTTTCCACGAGGATTTTTTTTTAGCAGGATTTGTCATGAAATTTTTAAACTGTACTCTAAAAATGCAATTTTTTCAAAGGTTTCATTTTTACTTTTTTAAATATATTTATTGGGCTAGAGTTTGTACGCATGTAGGAAAAAGTCGGCAAAAAAATTTACCATCAAAAATAAAATTATCGACACTAATACCAGGATTATTAAAAGCATTTATAGCAGTAGCATTAAAAACTAGCTTTGTTGAGATAACTGAGGGAGATTCAATTTATTTAATATGTCGGACGAACTCTTGCTTGCGGGTTTATCTAGTTATATTTACCCTTTATTGGGCATTTGAACGTAACAACAAATTTGAATAAATAAAATACACAAACTATAAGGATCAGTAGGGTATTAAGAAACAATCGATTATTGACGTTTTCATGAAAGTTCCAAGGATTGTGAACTGCAATCTACTTACACGTTTTCTTTAAATAAATCATTTCTGTCCAGCATATTAAACGTATAACAAATTCCTTCGTCTGTTATTATGGGCGTAAATAAATCCTCACATTTTCTAGGAAGTTTCCTCCAAATGCAAGAAGCAAAAATTGTCTTCGGTCTAACCTAGGTAAGAAGTGAAGTCATTTAATTGAAACGAACGTAATATTTACGATTATGATGGTGAACCATTTAATACAGAAAAAAAAAACAATAACATTACAACCCTTTTACAATATGTATTTGATGTATAGAAGGTGTAAGTGCGGTAAAAATCGAGTCTAATGTCGTTTGAGCATCCGGGAGTTTATTGAAAAACAAATCGTTCAGCGTACTTCATTAATTTACTTACTTCGTCCAGAAAATTCAAGAAATCATCAGCAGGTAAAGTGTTGGATCTTCCTGAAAATTTCCAGTTTGAATCACAATTCATGCTCATGTATTCGGCGTATCGTTTCCTGGAATTATGTTAGTTCTTTAAACTGTGCGGTGTTTCGTATGTAAGTTCTGGAAGTTAATTGTGGAGGAAACTGTTTTAGGCGTTTGGTTTTGCTTTTTAGAAAAGAAACAAATTGGCTCAAAACCGGCAACTATAAATTCAGTAAGCAAGAAGAAGAAGTTGTAGAAAATAGCTGGGCCATCATACTATTAGGAGTTGTGAAAAAAATTTGTAATTAAGTTTTTATTAAAAAGTGCTTAAGTTATATTCAATCAAAGTGCATAGTAATATTCAATCAAAGTGCATGAGTTACATTCAATCAATAGTTTTAGTAAAAATTGCCACTATATTTCTATACTTAGAAAAAGAATCGTAAAGTAGATAATTTCTCTTTAAGCTGGATTAAAATTTTAACAAATACGTATGTAATTATATGATTCCTACTCAATTTCTGTTATATTCGCATCGACTTTTCTGCCTTTCAATTTCAGCATAACATCAATATAATTGAATTTTGACGTAACGCTTTTAGTTTCCGGGCAAATAGTGACTGCTGGGAAGGGAATGCTGTCCAGCTTCGTTTCTCTGGTATCAAAACTCACTATTACTGGACTATCATTCCATTTTTCGTATACCAAAGTGATTGAATAGACGCAACCAGCCACCACAATGTTGAAAACAACAAACCACCAAATTCTGCAAACGAAATGCAGACTAGATTGCAATTCACTCGGCCACCAAGGTAGGAAATACCTTTCAAAGTAAGTGCGATCTTCCCCAAAATACCGAAATCCATGAATACTGCTGCACTTGCAATACTCCCTAAAGTACTTTCTCATACGGATAAAAATTAATGGAATTCTAATTTGCTTCATTACGGATGTCGCTTTTGCCATAATATAACAACCTGCAAAGTTAAAACATGGGAATCAATTAAAAGCAAGTTATAATATACTAAAATACTAAAGAGCACATTAGACACCGAGTGTGACGAGCTTGTTCTTATTATTTGGGTACTGTTGAATATTTATCATTGTTCTGTGTAGGATAGTTTTTGCGCTATTCTTATATACAACAGAAAGAAAATAAAAAATACGTTTCTGATTGATGATTTATTGATTTAAAATCAGCTCATTTATTAAAAATAATTTCTTTGGATTATAATCGTAAACCTAATCACAACTTGCATACATATTCCAATTGAAATGAATCAAGAAATGGTGACGATTATTGCTATAAAATTGAAACTCTATTACTTAAGTATTATTTTCTGCTGTTAATGCATGATAATTCAGGGTAATTGAAAAAAGTGAAGTTTTAGTGCTATCGAAAATTTAATTTGGGCGGTCGTCATCAAAAGCGGGAATTGCTGGATTGCAGAAATTCAATAACGCAAGTTGAATAAATTTGCCTACAAGAAGCTCCAAATAACTAAATAAACTATTACTTGAAATGAAATATATGTTTATGTACAAAATCGTAAGAAGTCAAGCAGTAAAGTGGGCAGCAAAATCCTATAAACGCATAATTATTAATGAAAAAAGTGAATATGGTAAATAAACAGAAAATAAATGCATACAAATTCTTAAACTCACCTCTATGAATGTAAATATTTTCACCAGGCAAATGATATTAGAATAGCATCGAAAATCAGCATACAAGGCATTTATCCAGAGCATTCTAGGTAGGGCAGGTAATAAGCTAATTAATCCAGCGCAATTTTACGATATTTTCATTAGTTATAGTACACCAACGAATGATACTATCATTTCAATGGTTTTACGCAAGTTATTGTTGTCGTTTTTCCAGCGGACTTTAAATAAATTAGTATTCTACTATATGCTGTATTTATTTCTCTGTAATAGAATGGTTTATTTACATTACACTCACTGGCTTTAGTCTGAATATTACATGTTAATGGAAATTAATAAAAACGTTATTTGTAAATTTCTATTTTCTATATTTCGATCTATTGGATATGTATTAAATAAAATTTGTGTTTTTTAAAATTATATTAATTTAGATAGAGTAGTATTACAGACAAGGTGACCATCAGAGGATGTGTGTGCTTTGTGTTATTTAATGTAGTAGATTAAGTTAGACAAATGGCTTATTAGTATTAGTAGTACTGTACTAGATTGATATAACAATAAAAAAAAGATTAATTTAGATCGGGTATCGGAAGCTGGACCATGTGCGATTGGTAAACGAACAGCGTAATTTACTTATCTACAATGTGCAAAGTTCAGGACGATTTGAGTTTGAAATGGATCTATAAAGAAATGTTTATTAACCGAAGTGCGTAAAAGCAATTTCAAGCTAGATATCACACTTTTCAATTATTTTTGTGCCTGATTGATCCCATGATTTAGCAGCGAAATTAAGCTAAGCGAAATACAACGCGGACAAGTTACCGAAAATACATTTTGGACAGAAGCTTCAAACTTAAGACTAGTTGGCTTTGATTTGGGCAAAGTTATTAAATTATCTAGAACAGTATTAAATTTATTTATTTATGAGTATGCCGTCAAGATAGAAACAAAGAAAAATCAGTCAATAAATGTATTTAACTTTTCTCGGCAATTAGCACTGTATTTGCTGTAAATTCATATTGTAGGTTCCAAAACCAGACTTTCCAAAGCAATATAAAAATTTCCGAATAATTGGAACTTCAAATAATTATTCTTGTAAAAACGTGCTATTGTATAATAAATAAACGGTAATATATTTTAATTAAATTCGGTATACATGTGGTGTTTTAACTAATGAATTGATGGGATGTGAGCTTAATTTAATCATCCATGAATGGGGCTTGGCCTGTTAATATATGAATGGGAAGGAACACAGTGGTAGAGTAACTTGGTCTGGTAGCAAAAGAACTAAGGGATATAATTTAATAAAATATATTTTCCGAATTCCTAAGTTATTTTTAGACGCAATGGAAACTAAGTTACGCAGTTTAGAATGTCACAATTGGAGATTAGCATTTTTTTGATTAAATGTGGCGTTTATTTGATTTAACACTTCTTCTGTAAATATTGGCAAAAATATATCAGGATTGTCAAATAATTATTACAGATTTTAAGCAAATTCTTTACGTGTTTGTTTGAGCTGAATGTGATCATTTAATTCTTATATTTTATTTTCAGTTTATAGATGTTCTAATTGATATAACTTGATATAAGGCTGAGTGAATTGCGTTTATTGCTTTTGCGCTACTTATCCAGTGCAGCAAAAACTTTACATTTTTTGTCGTTTACTCGTCATTCATTATTTTCTTACTCAGCTTAAGCGCGAAACCTAAGCATGTCCATATTTAAATTTGTATATCCAATTGTTATTGTTAATGTACTGCAGAACAAAACAAATAACTAGAAGTAAAAACATAAATAAACAGTTCAAAAACATTCCTTCACATCCAAACATTTATTTCACAACCACCCTGTACCGCAGACTGAATATAAAATGTAAAATTTAATAACGTGATGCTTCTAATTTATTTTGCATTTAATCATTTCATATTGCATCTGGAAAAGCAATTTTGTCGTAAATTTGCAACCAACAGTCAACCAAAGATGGCCTCTTTACCGGTAGCTACGAAAAAGACATTTCTATGGAGAAATGTGCGAATTTATTTTAGGGAATATTGCGTCTCAAGCAGCATTCATGGAATTAGGTATTTTGGAGAACGGCGCACTTACTTTGAAAGGTAGTAAAATGCATATGAAAAAATGGTTTTTCCAACTAGAAGTTTTCGAATTTTTTTTAACCAGAAAATTTTCGTCTGCTTATCAGACAATAACTTCAACTGTTAGTGTTTTAGAAATCACATAACTACATTCTTATCATACAAATTTCTAAAAAATTTATCATAAAATTATAGTAAAGTAAGTGTATAGTTTCGTATACTCCACTATCATCATCATCCACTTTCTCATAATTATTAATACCTTTTTCTTGTCCAAGTATACGTTAGTAAAATTCAACATGTCTTACTCTTTCATACTTGGATTTTTCGAAATATTCATGATTTTTGGAAAGTTTAAGCATTACTGTTTTTTCATTGTAGAGCATGGTGGTTAATTGTGTTTGCATTTTGTTTGTCGAGCTGTGGATTTTTCATCACAATGATCTATCGAAAGTGGGAAAGCAGTCCGATTATTGTCAGTTTTTCCACACGTGAAAAACCAATCTACGAGATACCGTTTCCAGCTGTTACCATTTGTCCTGAATCGAAATCGGCATCGAAAAGATATAGCCATTCCACGATAATTAAAAGACTAATGCGCTACAGGAATCTTACACAGGAAGAGTGAGTTTTATTTAGATATCCCCTTAACGTTTGCTTAGTTGCCTTCTCTTTCAGATATAAAACGTTTTCTTATATGAATCTGCTTTGCCATACGGTACCCTCATTCATTGAAAGGGGAAAACCGAAAAATATGACTTTTGATAACTATTTTTATTCCGTTGATGATTTCTTCGAAGTTGTTTTCAATGTAAGTTATTCTATATTATATGTATACAACTTGAAAGATATTGGCACTAATTATATCCAGTTCTGCGAGTCAGTTTGGTCACTCTATTACAATTATTTTTACATATTTTAATATTCATTTACTCGAATTCGATACAAGTAAGTTCTCTATGTAAATGATCGCAGAGACAACACTATAAATATATAAAGTTCAAGCGACTTTGTATAACACAAACAGCAAAAATAATTTTATCAGCCATTTACCAACTATTAAATTTATGTTTTAAAGTAATTGTTTTATTATTCAAACTTTTATAAAAGTTTATAATTGATCCTTCGAGATTACTTTTAGTACCTTTTTGAACCAAGTTGAAAATTTTTAAATGAATTATTGATATTTATCTTTTTATAGATTGTCTCTAGCATAAGATTAGACAATCACTTTAATATTTGTAGGTACTTAAATATAAAAAACTGATTTTAGAACACAAACGACTATTGATGTGAAATTTTCAAGGACTAATAACGAAGGTCCCGTTATCAGATTATTATCTATCAAATTATCCGTTTAAAATTTTAACATCCAGGTAATAGACGGGGGAAGTAGAAAGGTGATCTCAATCAATAAGTATATATTAAATGCATACAATTCTTGTTCAGAGACATATTTTTTTATTCATATTTTGCTTTGCTTCTTTGAGCATATTGCATAATTTGAGCAGATATAACTGGGTATAAATGGATATTCGAAATGAATGTTTTTTTAAATATTTCCTTCCTTATTAGGAAAAACTTCAGCTAATCTCTGGTACTTACAGGGTAATTACTTAGAGAGCAATTGCTAACCATCTTAAAACTGATAAAAGTAGATAACTCATGACGATATGCTTAGTTTATTAATTAATTTATATTCGATCATTGAAGAGATGACATATGAAGTAAGATATTGTTGCTTATTTCTTCTACGACCAAAGAAAATCTCATATACGTAAATTGTCTTGAAAATCCGAGTTTTTCAGGCACAGTAATTATAATGCAATAAAATATATTTACTATTTAGGGAATTTAAATTAAACCTCGTGCCTACCAGTAGTAATATAATTATAGTACCTATATTGTAACACGTGAAACATTTCGTAAAATTTACGAAATTTATTTTTTTGATTCGATTCTAGCGCGCTAAAGTAAATCACTGGTTTTCAGGTATCTACAAATATTCTCAAGTTCTTACGTGCTTGCGAATGGATGAATAAGGAATACTCTTGTAATCAATTGTTTGACTTAGTTATAACGGATGAAGGAATTTGTGCCACTTTCAACATGTTAGATACATCTAAAATATATCGAGATGTTGCGTAAGTTGAGATGTAACTTGGTTTCATAACTCTTAATCATTATAATTTTTTTTAAATAAGAAATGTATTCAATAAGATTAGCTTAAAAATAGCAATAGCAAAAAGCAAAGTTTTAAAAATAGACAATTAGATGAATTGTGTTAAATTTAGAGACAAATCAAAGCCTTTATAACTCACCAGGAATCATAAAAATGTTCTAGTCGTTTCTATGCTTCAGCATATTTCAGAAACCTTAGAATATTTTGGATGTTATTGCATTTTTCAATAAGTGCATTTTCAGATACATCCCTAGCATACCATTTCGCAAAAATACAACTTCTAGAAATATTACTTGGACCTTAGATGAAGGATATTCCATAGATGATGATATGCACACATTTCCGAAAAGAGCGCTTTATTCTGGAGCTTCTAGCGCACTCAAATTTAGTATAATAGAAAGCAATGAAAATATCGATCAAGCATGTACCAAATCTTTGCAAGGGTTTAAGGTAAGTCGAAGCGATATTCGGAAACTTAAGCAATTAATAATTAATACGGTAAGTCGTAAATAGTTGTTTCATTTTATGACAAAACTGAAGACCATTTGCAATGCACAAACAAGAATTAGATAATACATTTTTAGTATACCAGCGAATTTCAGTATTCATTAAATAAATTTTAGTTAACCGAAATATCAAAAAATATTCAAAAATGCAATTAAAAATTGGGTTAACAAATCGGGGGGTTTTCAATCAATTTGGTTTACGGAATAAAGACGAAAAATTAATTAAATAAACTAGAAAGAACTGGCATTTCGTATTACGATTCATAATAAAGTGATTGGAAGGAATTTATAATGGAGGTTAACTCTTTAATCGAGATTTAATGAGCTTTTTCTGCTTAAGCTCCTTTCGTGAAAATTACAGAATATTACAAAGAAAAACACCTATGAAGGTGCAACTTACTTGCCCTTGCGAAAGGCCTTGAAGAAATTATTTTCCACGAAGTAACAAAAGCTCGAAAAAGTTCCAGTTTCAATATTCGAATAATAATAAAAAAATCTTTAACGCTTTAAAGTAGATTTCTTGTTTCATTTAAGCCACTTATTGAGCATCATTTATTTTATTTCTTGTTTGTAGGTCACTTTGCACACTCCTACAAGAGTACCAAGACCAAGTCAACAATATTTTAGAGTGCCTCTGGATGCCATTGCAATAACTGCAGTGAAACCCGTAATGGTAACAACATCCAAACGGGTAAAAGATTTCAAGCCGGAAAAACGACAATGCTACTTTGAAACGGAAAAGTATTTAAAGTATTTCAAACTGTACACTCAAAGAAACTGCCAACTGGAATGTTTGAGCAATTTCACTCTTGCCTGGTGCGGATGCGTAGGATTTTTTATGCCCAGTAAGTGAATACAGTAATACAATCAGCTGAATACCTAAAAAAAATTGAAAAATTAAGCAATATTTTCCAATAGCTGCTCGTCAGAATATTGTGCGAGATTGATTTAGGTTTATTTACTCTAATTATATTTTATCTAATCAAATATCCACTGTAATGATGAGTAACAGCACGAGTTATTATCTGCTTTAATTAATTAATAAAAATATTTTAGAAGAAAATAATACGGATATATGCGGCTCACTAAGTAAACTATGCATGGCAGAAGCTGAAGAAATTGTTTATAAGAGTACCATACATCAAATTGATAAAATAAAACCCGGAAAGCAAAGAAAATCAGTTCACGCTGAAAAGGTAAACCGTCTCAACCTTCAACAAGGGACTTCATCTAATGAATCTCAAGTACGCAACGACAAACAAAATTAAATTATGCCATTGAAAAAATTATTTCTAGATTCCCTATTGTGATTGCCTGCCTCTTTGCACAGATCTCAGCTACGAAGTGGAAACCTCCACATCCGCTTGGGATTGGATTAAAATGATTGACGTATATTTCCCTCCGCTTAACACGTCTGTCCCAAGAGAAAAATCGTAATTTTCCAACATCCAAAATAAAATCAATGCCAATAAAATAAAATATTTTTTTACTTGTAGAATATCAAAGACCTCAATGATCATCTACTTCAAAACCAATCATTTCATAACAACAGAAAGACATGAACTTTATGCTATATTAGATATGCTTGGTAGCTTTGGAGGGCTATTGGGACTATTCACTGGTTTCTCCATTTTGTCCTTGATGGAGATTATTTATTTTCTAACAGTCCGAATTATTTGTAATATTAAGCTGTTTGGAAATTGGTCCGGGGAATGCGAAAATGATGTGGAGAAAAACTTACCAGAATTATCATCTCGTAGGAAGTGAGAAGAACCATTAGTAGGAGAAGAAAGTATCGATTTAAGGAATTATTTTGTGAAGTATTATAATCCGCTGCGTGTAGTAGTTCTTCGCAAATTACTTAAGAAATACATATTTACAGATACTTAGAATGCACTTTTCCCTTTGCCTTGACCACGTCCGGTACGGACGGATAACGACAAATAACCGATATTGTCATGTGAAAGATGAAAAGTAAAAGAAATAATATCTTAAGTCACATATTTCGTGCCATATTAAACTGTTTTGAACGTTTGCAAGCCAAGCAAGCAGTCAAGCTGGTTTTGAATTTTCAATTCGTGAATGGAGTACCAAACTGCAGAACTGCCGGTAGAAGAACCCACATACGAATAAACTATCAAAGCTATCAAAAAGCTTAAAAATAACAAAGTTCCAGGAAAAGACAACATACCAGTAGAGCTGCTTAAATATGGAGGAGAAGCACTACAAAGGCAACCACATAGACTTATTACTCTTACTCTCTTATATGGAGTCAGGAGAAAATACCAGATCATCCCTACCTGTAAAAAGGGAGACAGAGCAAATTGTAGTAACTATAGTATAGTTTTAATCAATACGGCATATAAGATCCTTGCAAACATACTTCTGGATCGCCTTAAACCCATCGTAGCCAGGCTTGGGGGACTACCAGTGTGGATTCCGTAAAAATAGATCTACTGTCGACCAGCTATTTGCAATAAGGCAAAAAATACTGGAAATTTAACAGAGTCATTCATCAACTGTTCAGCGACTTTAGGCAAGCATACGATTAGATTCTTATTAGAGTTAAGCTATGGGACGCAATAGTGGAGCTGGAAATTCCCAAAAAGCTAATCAGGCTGATAGGTGTATGTATCAACGGCTTCAGAAGTAGAGTAAAAGTTGGTAAAATACTGCAGATTCGTTTGAGGCATTTAGTGGCTTGAAATGTGGCAAAAAAATATGCGGCTTTCTTATGTACCCTTACCGTAAATTACTTATGTACGTGTGGAAAATACACATCATTCGGACAATATTTTAGATCCTTTAATTTAAATAATTGTGAATTGATTCAAATTCAGTAACAATTAATTGATCGTGATCCGATCTGAATACACTTTGTGTCTACTAAAGAGAAAATCGTTGCTCGTAAGCGTTTAATTTATCGTAAAATATTCTTTTGAACGTATTTAAGTATCATGGATTTTTTGGAATATTATGCTAGAAAAGTGCCAGATTTTCGAAAATTGTACAATTGATATATTCTTAAATTGATGGTATGAATTTTTATAAAAGTACAATTTTTCACTATTTTTCGGGTACTTAGTTTTTGTTCTATTTTTACTATTTGTTTTGATTTACACATAATAGCACGACCGGTGACCCAGGAAGAAAAACATGACCTCCAAGTAAATTGTTATAATATGTAACAGCTATTAAATTTTATTGAATATAAAAAATGCGGAAATGGGTAAGTACAAATGCGTCAAACTTAACTTTGACGCCCTGTATTTCAAAAACCGTCCACTTTTGGAGTAGTTAAATAGTCAAATTCGGTTAAATCATCATGTTTTCACCCCACAACACGTTCTCTGTCGGCGGATTTTGTACGGACATTTTAAATACATCCTGTACTTATTTTATTCAAAAAATTACTTAAAAAATAGCAAGCAAGTTAATTCTTTTCTATAACTCTAAAGCAAAGACTGTAACTAAATTGAAGCTTTCCTATGTACTTTGTTTCTAGATAAGTAATTTGGAGTAAATTATTTATTAAACTGAAATTTACAATCTATAGAAATATACTTATAAGCCATCAAAAATTAAATTTAATATGCCTGAATACAAAACCAAAAAATACATTTCAACATATCACTTTCAGTATATAATATACTTATAAACCATCCAAAAATTAAATTTAATATGCCTAAGCCATCAAAAATTAAATTTAATATGCCTGAATACAAAACCAAAAAATACATTTCAACATGTCACTTTCAGTTTCCGTGAAAGATTTGCCCAAAAAAATTTGCGTAAAATTACATCAAATGCCAAAATTCCCAGAAACCTATAAAAAACAGCTTCGACTGTAATACACTTCAATTTACTGATTACATTTATAAAAATCAGACGCTCTAATCAACTGTAATCAGTCTGAATTTGATATTGTCAGTGTTTGCACAGAATCATCCTTGAATTGTTCATATCAACTCCGACAAGCCGCTGCAATCAGGTAAATGCGATGGTAGATATTTAAAATATTCATTTTTCATCTGGTTAGAATTGTCCTGTTGTGAATATATAATCTGCTGCATCTATAAGGTGATTCCTTTATCTTAAATATACTGATTTTATATTGGAATTATTAATTAAAGAATGTCTGCAACTTTGATAGGTTTACATGTGCATTTTTCGGATAAAATTCATTTTACAAATAAATTAGCCTCGGTAAAGTCAAGTATGGTTTGAGCCTGATCCTTTTAATGGAGCCTTGCTGAAACATAAGCATATGGAAAAACTGAATAATTTTTAACATGAATAAATGAAAATAACATGCAAAGTCTTGGTATAATAAAACTAATTGATATAATTTTTAGCAACGTAAATCTACTGAAATGTGGTTAGCCACTGTTCTAATACTGATAGCCGCTCTGCTATTCTATTTTATTAAACCACTATGGTACTGGTCTAACAGAGGAGTAGCGCAAAGTCGGCCTATGCCATTTTTTGGAGATTCAGCAAAGCTGATTTTTCGAAAAATCAATCTATATGATTTTGTTAAATCGTTTTACGACATGTATCCAAACACCAGGTAAGGCTACCTCAAACATTATTACCAGAAATATAAATTTCTTTCTCGATCTAGTTATACCGGAGTTTACAACTTCAGAGCTCCAGTATTGATGATAAAAGATCCAGAATTAATCAAACAAGTAATGGTAAAAGACTTTGACACGTTTACAGATCATGCCCCATCAGGAGATCCCGATGCGGATCTCTTGTGGAGTGACAATTTATTTGCATTAGCAGGTAGCTGGGATTATAGAATCGCATTAATTTTTTTTATATAAAAGTTTGTATTTGCAGGTGATAGGTGGAAGGAAATGAGAAACCTCATCAGCCCCACGTTCACTACAAGCAAAATCAAAATCATTTACGAGCTAATGGCAGATACTGCCCAACAGTATATAAAACAATTTCAAGCAGGAGAAGATGATTTTATTGAAGTAGAAATGAAGGACGTTTTTTCAAGGTGGGTGACTTAGAAGAGTAGTAGTGGAATTTTAAAGGTCTAAGGAATTTCTGAGTTATTCGCGATTCAGAATTATATTTAGTTACATTTTATAATTTCTCCAAATGTTACTAAAATTACACTGTCTGTATTATCTGCTACAGATTTGCAAATGATGTGATCGCAACTACGGCGTTTGGCCTTAAAGTAAATTCTCTAGAAGAAAAGCAGAATATATTTCATAGAATGGGAGAAAAAATTACTAATTTTAAAGGGTTTTTAAAAGGAATCAACTTTATGATACTAACGTTCTTACCACGTCTAAGTAAGGTAAATGTGGATCCTCCCGAAAAATGAGCAAGTACAGTTTTTCTTATTTTTCAGATCCTGGGCTTGACGCTCTTGGATAAGGAAGCCTCCAAATACTTTCGCACCGTCATCAATGACACCATTAAAGTGCGCGAAGAGAATAACATAGTTCGGCCAGATATGATTACCTTATTATTAGAGGCGAGAAAAAATCCCAGTGAAAACAGTTCGGAAAACGGTAGGCGCTTTTATTTTTCATTAGTCCTGTTCTCAGTTATACCATATTAAAGTTTAGAAACATCTAGAAAAAGGCCGAAGCATGTAGTCAGTATTTCCAATGATCAAATCGCATCGCAAGCAGTCATTTTCTTCTTTGCCGGATTCGACACCGTTTCAACTGCTATGTGTTTCGGGGCTTATGAATTAGCCTTAAACAAAGACATTCAAGATAAACTGCGCGAGGAAATTCGAGAAACTACACCAAAGGTTGGGAGAGTTACTTACGAGCAGCTGCAGCACATGCGATATATGGATATGGTAATATCCGGTGAGTTTTTTTACTTCTTTCTGGACTTGAAATGAGTTTGATTCATTCATTTAACATTCTCTACTTTCTCCAAATTTTTCACTCATCACCACTTGAACGCAAAAAACTGAGTGTTTAATGAAACAATAAAGTAATTTTTGAATAGTTAAAGTAAAGGAAAAACGATATAAAAATGCTCATACAGGCACAGATCGAGCGCCGAAGAACAGAAAAATTTGAAAATTTAAACTTAAGCAAATTTAAAACAGAGTAATGTTTGTAAACAAACATTAATTATTCAATTGATTCACATAGTTCGGCTAAAAAAAGCCATGACAAAATCAACAAAGCTGATTATAAGAGAGGATATCAAAATTTGTAAGTATTTGATGGGAAAATTACATTCAGGAAAATGTTCAGTTCATTCAGGAGTGCAGCAAAATAGAACTTTTTTTCAAAAACTCCGCTTTTGCAGGCAGGCGTGTGGATCATAAAAACGGGTTTATGTCATTCACACACGGAATTAAATATGTAGACAAACGGAAGTAAATGTTGCAAAATCGCATAAAATACCAAAGCAATTTTAATATTCTGAAAATATAGTTTCTTTGCAATAAAACGGAATTGATAAAAAAACGCAACAGTGACGCAAATAAAGTAGACGAAATCCTGGAAATAACTTGCAAACGGCAGAAACAATTAACTTGAGATGATTTAAAACTTGCGTATGATTTTTATTTAAAGTATTGAATCTTTCATTTTAGAAGTTCTTCGGAAGTGGCCACCGTTTCCCATGGTAGACAGAATATCCAAAAAACCTTACACGTTTGAGCCAAAAAACAAAAATGAAAAACCATTCGTATTAGAAGCTGGCATTGAAGTGTGGTTACCCATTTACGGATTACAGAGGGATCCCAAATACTTTCCAAATCCTGAAAAGTTCGATCCTGAAAGATTTTCCGAAGAAAATAATAGCCTTATTATTCCGTACACTTACATGCCATTTGGTGCCGGACCAAGGATTTGCATAGGAAATAGATTTGCTTTAATCGAAATTAAATCCCTATTTTTCAACTTGCTATCAAATTTTGAAATAGTGCCTACTCATAAAACTCCGATTCCCCTTGTTCTTAAAAAAGACTTTCAACTTGGAGTCGAAAGTGGATTCTGGCTAGCATTAAAACGCATCAAGAATTGAGTTCTGGAGATTCACAAGTCATCTTCAGGTTCTAGATGACACCTGTTTTTTTTTTAGTTTTTAGATTGGATTGATTTACTTGAACTGCCGATGGATTTGAAAACTATTTAAATTCACAATGCATACATTGAGCAACATTTTTTAATTACATTATTGTTGGCCCAAATGTAATCATTTTTATCTTATGTAAAAAAGCGTGTTTAAAAGAGAGTTTAAGTTTGTCGATCATATAACAATACTTCTTGTCATTCTCTGAATTCCTTTTTTAACTTTGCATCAAATTATGTTCTCATATATTTGTAGCCTGTATAATTTTCAAATTAATTTATGAAAGACATAAAATTTTTAAGAAGGAAACGGAATCAGTGTTCCCTATGTTTTAATACTCTAATTCCCACTGTTAGTATTCCATAAATAGCAATATGAACTAAAAATATCACAGTATCTGGCAAGAACTTATTGCCTTTGCATTATATATGTCTCGCATTAAATAAATAGGAAAATCCCAGGATGTTATTTACCTAATTAATCACATTTAATGGTCGCTAAAATTGTAAAGAACATTACAACAAAAATTTTATTGTGATATAAATAGAATGCAGAAGTTTGGACTACATCCAGCGTACATCTAATTTTAATTAGTTTATATGGCGTATGTACCGATGTATGTATATTAACGACGAATTGAGTTAACCCGCTGATTGACTTGTCCTAGATAAAAGCAAAGTTAGGAAAATAAGTAAAAACTTTGCGAGCAGATAAAACAAATGTTATCGAATTAATTTTCAATCTGAAAATATAAATGTTTATATCAAAATAAGTTAATTTATGGCTTCAGTCATTTATCATAAATATTATGAGTCTCAGGTACTGCGTAAATCATCCCAAGTAATAATAATATATCTGCTAAATGTCTTTCAATTGAATTGTATTACAGAGGAAGACTCTATTCAAGGTAAAGGTGAAATCTCGAGAAAAACTTTCCAACTGAATACTATAATTCTAATTAATGTTTTTATTGTCAAACGTGAATGCTTTAAAAAGACATTGATTGAAAAGCTTTTTGGTATGCAAGTATATTTTCTTAAATTTTTTTGATGTTACAAGGTGTAAATTGATAAGTATTTTATGTTATTAAACTTATTTTAATGAATGGTAGAAAAATTATCATATAATACAGTTAAATTTTTACATTTATTTATTTATTAATAAATGTTGAAAAAAATGTAATTTTTAAAATACGAAATTTAAGCTAAATAACTAACGCAAAAGACGCAAAAATAGTGCAAAGTCTTGAAGAATCGCGGCTCCCTCCCTTTTTTTATAATATTTACTGTCGTTATATACCTGTTCTCACTTTTATTAACATTTTACCAGACAATCATCAAATACTCAAGCAGAAATGATAAAAAAACGAAACATTTAAGACCATTTACATACAAAGACAAACCAGAAACTTCAAAAATATGAAATCATACAAAGAGTAAACGCAATAGAAGAAACTTAACTATCCATACAGAATACTTGAAGTTTGTAAATTTTAAATTTTGCAACAACAATTCTAATATATTTTAAGCATAAAGCAACTATCCCAAAATAAACATTGTTAATTACATAGCTTGTCCATCCTGTCCAAATAATCTAAACTTTTCTTCACAAAAAAGGTTCACGAAAAGTATTAATTGAAAGCTTTTTGACTGCGCTGCGGCACAGAAATGACATATCGGTATTTAGATGAATATTCTTCCGTTGCTATTATTTATGTAAAATATAAAAATAAACGCAAATTTTTACTACCGTATTGACAACATATTCAACGCACCTGTTTCTCGCAATCCTTCCGACATAAAAAAATAAAAATAGGTTTTAATGAGAAAACGATCCAGATCATCTGCTGTCGTACGGAACAGTGCTGATGTTTGCGATATATGAAGACTATCGTTAACTTTAAAATAAAATCTTTGTAGAAGCAGTTTTATCCAGTTTTATTGTGGTATCGGAAAAACGTCTTGGGTTTTAACTAAAATCATCCCAGTAAATGAAAAAGTAATATGGTATATACACTTAAACACCAGCAAGAAGAATAAAAACAATAAAATAAAACGCATTTTAAAAACTGTTTCCAGCCGAAATAGCGAAACAACATACAATAGAAGATCATGTCGTAACCTTTTGAAAGAAAGCATGATCAATATTGAGCTTTTTTCATAGATCCTTCTCGGACAATGGTCTGGAATGAAATATCTTAAAATACAACGATGAGCCGGCACACGCCAATTTGTTTTTAGGATTAAGGCGCCGATAACTTCGGTGGGAAAACAAACTTTTGCGGCGGGAATTGAACAAAATCAAAAAACTCGCGTCGGATTTACACGGTCGCGTTCATGCTAAATACCGACATTGTTCTTATATCATAAAAAAAGATCAGTACATTTTCCTAAAACAATTATTGTGATTTTTTGCATTCAAAAATGAGTAGAAGTCATAGGAGACGGGTAAGTCGCTAATATTTGCAAATAATTTGAAACAATTCACAGTCCATTCATTATATTCAATTCAGAAAAAAAGAATCCTTAATAATGAATTAGGTTCTGGCTACATATGTTCAACTGATAATGGCTTCTTTATTATTTTCATTATATTCCACTTTATATATAAAATATTCTTAAACTTATTACACATTTATCTCATAGAATTACAAGTCATAAAAAATAAAACCAAGTTTTAAAGTCGAAAAATTACCATAGTCTCAAATCAGTGTGAGATTTGCGACTTTCAATCTGTGCTCAATTCAAAATTTGAAATATTTTATTTTGCTTTCTTGTCGAAAAAATATTAAGTTTTCCAAACTTAAACAAAACTTTAGAGAGAGAATACAATATTTAATTTGCTTACACGGATACAGTTTTTTAAAATCATAGTAAAATTTATGTAGCACTGATTAATAAACACATTATTATTATTATTGTTATACAAAATTTGGCAGACTAAAAATTTAGTTTAAAGACAGCATAGTGGAATACATTTTATTTTATTTTCTTGCTAATTAGTGTGGTCACAATTTTACGCGTATTTGTATTTTCTATTTATTTGCAAATTGTCTTAAACATCTTCCTTTTTTGTTAGTAGTAATCCTCAAATTAAATAACAATTAATTACCGTTCCTTCTATCGTAAGGTTTCAGTCAGTGCTTCATCGATCATAATCAATCAATCGAATCATAAAATAAGTCAATCCTGTCTCAAAATCAGCCTTAACTTACGAGTTTTTAGCACGATAATTTAAGCAATTACATTTTATTTCGATTTGCTAACAAATGAATATCTGTTTTCTTCAACTTAAAATTCTATAATTCCTTCAAGTGCAAAATATAACCAATATGCTTCAGCATTAGAACTGCACAAATTAGATATCTTTAAAAACTAAGTGTTGTTTGTAGTTTTTTATAGTCTGATTTAATAGTTTTAAACTGTATTTCTCTTTATATTTCCATATACTAGGAAGAAAGACCAGTTTAAATTAAAACACACATTTCATTACATGCGATGATGAAAAAGTGTATTACAAATTTATGGAAACTGTCTGCAATGATAATGATTTTCTTTGTTTTATCTAGAGAAGTCGGTCTTCTAAAGGCTCGAGATCCACTACAGATGGAAGTAGTTTTTTGGAAGATATTTCAGAGGACGGGGGTGAAGGGCCTAAATATGAAATTAAAACGTCGAAAATAATGGGCAGGTAAAAATAATAATTAAGTTAATTAACACTAACGAAAATTGCAAGTTCAGATATCATAAACTGTATACGAAAAAATAACACAAGGCTTGAAATAAATGGGCTTAAATATTTAGCGCTTATGAATCTAATAAGCAATAATTTAAGTAGTATTCACAAGCAAGTACATTTCTAGGTCGTCGGATTTATAAAGTATTTTCAATGTAAGTTTTGGCAAGCGTAAGGTAATTTTCGGAATAATGCAAAATATATAGAGATAATTTTCAACTAAACTAAAATACGCAACTCTGTAACTATTATTTCATGTCAGGGGCATCGCATACACACCGAGTGTACTAATTTAACGGCATTTTAAAATATTACCTTAATTACAATAATTTCAAACTTGCGGCAAACGGTTTTTAACATTTAAAATAAAAACATCAAAACGTCATTTTAACATCCAATATTCCAGTAACAAATAAAACTCATATTTTTTTTTCCAAAACAGAGCTTTACAGATTGAGTGGTTTTAATTGCTGTGACTAAATATTTAAAATTGCCTGTATTAGTGTGACCAAACATTTATAAATGAAGCATTTTATATTTTCTTTCATTGTGGCGACAAAGTTCTTGACTTCACACTAAAACACAGTAATTGGGTCTGAGAATTACTATGTTTTAGAATTATTTTAATGGGATGTTAATGACCATTTTTTAAATCCTCAAGTGTATTTTTGCTTTGTAATCATTTGGATTCTGTCTGTCCAACAGCCTTAAAATACAGTTGAAAGTTATTTCCACTGCACTAATTTTGTCTGAAAATATCTTGTATTCTATACTGAATTCTATATATTTTTTTTACAGTGTTAATTTTAAAATTTGGTATTTCTTACCAACAGGACGTGTGATTGTACACGGATACAATTACGCACCACATATCGTTAGGCGGGCTTCAAATAACATTAGAAAACCTGAAATAATACACAGTAAAGAGTGTGTATTTTTTTAGCAATTTCAATAATTGCCACGTTATATAACGAGCCATAAATATCACCAGAGGCATTTTGAATTTCAACCGAATTTCACTTATCGATTGGCAGAGTTAAGAAAATTTTGATGACAGCCTTATTGCAACCTTCAGCTTTTCAAATTATTAGCTATCTGACCTAAAACCGAGAACGCTCTAGAACTTTTATTTTAATGAGATGTGAATTTTTTACTATCTACTAACATGACTTGAAAAAAGTATAGGCAAAACAACTTGATAACTGATATATATTCCTAAACAAAATCAATTAAATGAGAGTGTGTTCGACGAGCCAAACCGCAGTGTTTAACGATATATTGGAATATATGCGCATTAAAAACTCATAAAAATTATTCAATCTTTGATCAATAAATCATAGAATACACGAAGTTTGGAGAAATTATCAACTTCAAACATTTTTCATTTTTATTTTTTATAAATGTATTAATTTATCCTATTGAATGTAAACTCGCGAAACATTTTGCAAAGATATAAAGTATTTTTGAAATGTTCTTTGAACGGACAAAATCTTTCAAGTATCTTAAAAGGTTTTTTAATGCATCTGAGCATTCAGATCCAGACTATATTTACGATATTTAATAAACATTCAGTCAGTCTGACTTTGTACTTTACTTTTGGGGAACCCACTTGTAAAAAACCATAAACATGTGAAAATCAGTACAAAAATATATGATAAATATTTCCTTATTGGAAAGCAAATTCCAAATAATTTACACCATCAGGCAAATTTTCTGAACTACTAATATCGCGTATGATTTAAGCACGTAGGTGAAAATTTATTTTTGTAACAATTTGTGTAATGATCCAGTTTAAAGTTAACAGTTCCTTGATAAATCGTTTATTTTTATTATATGATAAACAGTCGTTACGTCGAAGAGAGCATTGTGGGGGAACTAAAAATGTTGTTGAGAATATTGCGATATGACCGAAGGTACCTATACGTCGGGATTCACTAACTGGAAATTCTAGGCAGGCATATTAATACATTTATCTTTAAGCATGATTATAAGAAGAAATTCTGGGGATTTTCAAATTAAGTGGAAATAAGTAGCAACATCATAACTATAATTAGTCTCTTTCCAGAAATCTGGGATTTTACTTCCTATCACTTTCCGCACATTTTATTGCAGAAAAAAGATTAAACATATTTTGATAATAATGGCAAAAGTCTTAGTTGAACAAAATTTCGTTGCAGTGTGAATAACATTTTCTCTCACGTTCTTCTCCCGTAAAAGTTAATGTTCTTATAACAACAATTTTAGAGCCTTAATACGTTCCTTGCTGTTTGTTAGTTAACAGGAACAGATTTGATGAATTAATTTAATATTTGTAACATTCTGCAGGTCTCACACATTTTTTTAAGTTTCTGGCCAATTTGAATCAGGTATCGATCCTTTTCGCTCAATGCTAAGAACATTTTCGCGTAATTTTTACGCCGGGTATTTGAACGTTCTTAATTACGCCATCCGGGCTAAATATTTGAGGAATCTTTTTGATCAGTTTTAATTTAGATTTTAAATATAATAATACGTCACAGGCGCCATTCAGAAGCCCATTTTAATCTCATATTAGCATTACCAAATCGAAAGAACGAAACTTTACATTGCACACTTTAGATTAACTGCACTCAGTTTTTTTCCTATAAATAATTATTGTGGGAACTTGCTGAAATAAACTGTATGCTCAAATTAAAGGATTGCTGATTTCTTATTCAAATTTAAAAAAATCTTATATCTGCACTTCGGACATAAAGTTTATTGTCTTTCGCTTAAATAAAAGTGATTAAAAACCATTTACATTTAATATAACCCAGAAATCTAATAGGAAACAGCATATATACCGGGCGGTAAAGATGTTTCCTGAATCACCATTATTTCTACATCACCGATTGCAAAAGTAATTAGAGCCACTGATATTTTCGAAATAATTTTAGCTAAAGCAGGATGTCGCGGAAATATCTGACAAATTAAACATACGTTTTTTTAAATGTTCCTTATCTACTAGTGTTTTCAAATTTTATACCAGAGTTAGATAGACGTTCTTGAATTTTTTAAATTCCATTAGCAAAATAAATGAAAATAACTCCGGTTTTAAATTTGACTTAAATGTGCTTATTGCAACGTACTAAGATCACAAAAAGGTATTAAGAATTTTCTTTTTTATTCGACAACATTTTTAGAAATGTATTCCCCAACAGTGAGAACTTTAGTGATTTTGATATGCTGAATCTAGACCTGAAATTAAAACTGTCAGAATTTCATCATAAACGTATAATTGGGAGGCTACAAGTACAAAAAAAGCTCTAACTTTTTTTAATATTATAAATCAATCTTTTTTCTACAAATTGTGGAAATCTGAAGTATTTTACGAAGAAAAGGTACTCTTAATTTACTTCGCGCAGACGCACCGTTTGCCAACTAAATTACTTTAAAAATATTACTAGCTAGCGTTAGGGAGCATTTTTTTGATACATGTTCATTTGAAAAATTAATGTTATTTTTTAGAGCAGATTTTACTGTTTCAGTTTGACCACCCAATTTTGGGACACCGTGTATATTAATTTAAGAGCAACATTGTAAAAATAGAATCTAAAGGATATGATTTTCCAATAAAACTTAAACTCCTTTGAATATTTTTTACAAACTTCTTTTTGGGTATTTCGCCTCAAAAATTTTTGAGGCGAAATACCCAAAAAGAAGTTTGTAAAAAATTAATCCGCCTCAACAATATAGAACTTATCCTTTGAATATATTTTGCATAATTTGCTGGTTAATCGATTTTTAATTACACTCGGTAAAAATTATAACAAAAATATATGAAAAAGTATATTAAATATATTTTTTTGCTGTTAAACATCCAAAGTTACTTTGCTTGTTTGTAATCATTCGAAATTGTAATAACTGAAATGAGCATTTTTTTAATATTTGCATGTTAAAGTTGTGACTAAAAATAAAAATTGAGGCGAGCGCTTCTGAAAATTAATTGTATCTTTAAGTATTCCAATATATCAGGAACACGTAACGCTGTCTATAATAAAACCAGCAAAATCTAGTTTCTGAAAACGCACGATTATTTTTTAATATAATTTAAATACACAATTCAAAAGAAAAAAATTGCTTTTCTCGATTTGCTCAAAATATTAGACAAATATCGCTTATCCATCATCAAATGCAAAGTTTACTTTGCCTTGTACACTCTTATTAATAAAATAGACAGCACTGTTATTAATAAGCTGTAACGAAGCGACGTATTTAAAATTAGATAGAAATCTAAGGATTTTGTATAATAGTAAACGATAACCACATTACCAAGGACAGGACAATATTTGGGAGCGTCAATACAAATTGCATATTATTATCAGTGCTTATAAATAGACAACCTATTTATTAATGGGACATTTTATTCATGTCCGTGCTTTGTTCACACCTACAATAATAGGCTCACTCATTAGACAGTTTACATTTTCTCATTAAAAGCTTGTTTTCAAAATGTTTTGTCAACAAACCCACGTATCATTGAGGGTGCCAATTATTACGTGCTTGACGAATTAGCCAATCATATCATATCAAACAATAAGAAATTTATTTAAAAATTAGAAATTGATTTAAGACCATTGGCCAGCTAAAGTTTAGGCTAATCTGCATTTCACAACAGTATTTTTTGTATGTTTACGAAAAATCCCCAAAATCTGATCACAATCAAAATATTGTCTACCGAATGTGAATTTACTGGATAATTTAAAAAGTTGGCATCTTAAACGATGCCTGTTTTTATTTTTTAATGTATTTTTAGTGCGCTTTTGTTATTTTTAGCCAATATGTATAATTCTTCCTGGAATTAAAGATGAACGACTTGCTGGACTTTTTATATTGCATTTTGGTAATTTTCCTGGACACTTGGCTGAGTTATGAATCGAATAACCGAGATGAAATAAATTAATCATGTGTACCCACAAAATATCTAATCTGTTATTGCTTACAACCAGTATAAACTTTTATTTGAATATAATTTATTCAATATGCTTATAACCACTTGATAAGCCGCTGCTTTAATACACCGTCCTGTATATGTAATGTTCTAAAACGAGTATAAAGAATATGTAGACTTTAATTTAATTTAGTAACTTTTCAGATAATTTGTTTCATGTGAAGTTTAATTGTTGCTTATTTTTACATATTTTTTAAATTAAGATATCGACAAGATCTTAAATAGTCACTTGTAAACTCTCACATAACTTATTAAAAAAGTAGCTGGTTCCCAAATGATAACAGTCAGCTTCGATCAAGATCATTCATTTTACCAAGATCAACATTCAGATTTCCAATATTTGAAGCTCAATTTAGAAAACACTTTAACTTTGGCACTGTTTTATTAAACTTGACTTAACATTATCGGATGTCCACACAACCCATCACGTTTAAGAATTTGAAAATATGCATTTGCGAATATTTATATTAGCGTCAAGTAGGCATTTCGCTTCTAATATTAAATTTCGAAAAATTCGCAACTTTGCAATATGTAACCAATATTTTTTATTCGCAAAATACTACTCAGAATGTTGAGATAAAAGCAAACACAAATGTACGTCTATAACGCGAAATGACATCGTTGTATTAATAATTTTATGCAGTCAAACGTTTTGGCTGCAGTCCAAACAGCGCAACAGCTGGATTATGTAGAAATAATTTTATTGAGATTTGCTTTTTAGTGGACTATTTACAAAATCAACTGAATAAAATCGCAATTATTAATATTTAGTATCAAGATAGATATTTAGTATCAAGTAGTCAAGATGTATGTTTTATAACGGTCGCATAAATATTTAATTATCGAGTGTATATGTATAAATAATTTCGGGCCGCGTTCATTTAGAGGTCTAATTTAGATTATTTTTTAATTTTTAAAGAAACGTAATAATCTGCAAATTTAGCTTCAACATAAGAACTATTTAATTATCGACTGCATTGCAATATTTCCGATCTAGATTTGAATTCGATTTATATTTCTCCCTTTCTGGGTCAAATTTGAGGAATTTCCCAAGCCAAAAACTGAAATGTATGTGCCCCGTATTTAATCATCCAGAAATAAAAAAACGCTTTTTTCAAATATGAAGTTTACCATGTAAAATAGGATGCAGTGGCTGTTTCTCAATTAGTGCATTTGGACACGTATACGCCCAAAATTTAATTAAAGAGTACATTTACATATCATGTATGTATCATTTTTGAGTAAAACGTAATAATCATAACATTGAGTTCTTATTCAATCCAAAAGTGCAAAGACCAGAAATGAAAATATACCGGCCGCCAGTAAAATAAAAGGGAGTCTCAGTCAAAGGCTTGCATTGATATTTCTCTTAGGACAAAAAAATTCTTACCATTGGCTCCTTCAGACAAACTCATCAGTTTTGTTGCAGATACATTGTGGCCAAAAAAGATATTAAACCGGGCGAAGTAATAATTTCGGAGGAACCTCTTGTGATCGGCCCATGCACGGATTGTAAGGTACAATGTCTTGGATGCTATAAGGATTTGGAAAAGGAAATTAGATTATTCAGGTTGACGATTGAACACAATGACTCCAAACACAGTGATTGTTATTTTGTTAAAATAATTTTAGATGTTCAAAGTGCGGATGGCCAATGTGCTCGAAACAATGTCCTGGAATCAAGAAGCATCACGGCCATACTGAAATAGAATGTACAATTTTGCAGGAATGTAAATCGGCATCTTTTTTCAACTATGATGATTTGGAGGATTTGCGTACTCATTTCCAAGCAATAGGTGAGCGCTCTGCATTAAAAAAACAGCCTAAAGTGTTGCGTGAAAATGAGCCACTTAAAAGCAAATAGTAAATTTAAATTGCTTAACATTTTTTTTCGTTTAGTTCCCTTAAGATGCTTAATACTAAAGACAACAGACCCGGAAAGATATGCCATTCTTATGGACATGGAAAGCCACAACGAGATAAGGCGAAATATTCCCGACTTATGGGCGCTCAATCAGAGCAGGGTAGTGAATAGGATAATAAAACACTGGAAACTTACCGAATTTTCAGAGGAGGAGATCCATACGATTTGTGGAATATTAGAGGTAACTACATATCTAGAGTTACTAAATCTCAATTTGTGTTTTCAATTTTCAAATATTTCAGGTAAATACTTTTCAAATAGGCCAACAAGGAATAAATATTAGAGGTTTATATCCAACCTCTTTTCTACTGTCTCACAACTGTGTACCTAACACAAATCATACTGATGAAGAGGATACGTATGAGCTAACAATAAGGGCTTCAACCAAAATTCAGGAAGGACACCCCATAACTCTAAGTTATGCATATACATTGCAGGTCAGTATTTGGCAATCTGTGGTTCACTATCCGAATTGAAACAAACTTTTCAGTGTACCTCAAAAAGACGAGAACACCTTCTAGAAAATAAGTTTTTCGAATGCAGATGTGAGAGATGCTCGGACCAGACTGAATTGGGCACCTATTGTGGAGCGTTAATTTGCCCGAAATGTGATAATGGTAACTGATCAAAATCAATTTTATGAAAAAAAACATTAACATTTGAAGCTATGTGCATTTAAGGTTTGGTGCTCTGTGATAATCCTCTAGATTTTGATTCAACTTGGAGCTGCAATAACACTGCGAAATGCTGTGCGGGATACTCCATTTCAGCTACCTCCATGAATTTGCTGTTAAACAGGTATGTTTCTTACAACAAAGTTTATATAAAATTACGAAAACCCTTTAGTGTATGCTTCAAACTTTACTCAAACGTGTTCCAGAATATCTGACGAAGTGGATCAAATTGACTGCAATGACATAAAATCCATGGAATTATTCTTGGAAAAGTACCGAAATGTCTTACATCCCAACCATTACCTGTGCCTGGGAATCAAAATTTATCTCAGTCAAGTATACGGACGGATTTCGGGATATATCATACAGGAACTGGATGAGAAGCCTTTGCTGAGAAAAAAGGAGATTTGCAAGGAAATTTTAAGTGTCTTTGATGTGATAGAGCCGGGTTTAACTCGAATAAGAGGTGAGAAAGTTACTTATGTCTAAAATCCCAATTTTAAGCGGTCGTGTCAAGTTTAGAGAAGAGTATCTTCTTTAAATATTAGTTTTGAAATCAGTCACAACTCGAATTGGTCAATATCATCATTCCCTATAAATACTGAATAAATCATATCAATTTTAGGAGTTACCCTCTATGAAATCCACGCCCCAGTCATGATCCTGCTGACACGCCAAATGGAATCCCAACCCATATCAAAAAATCTCATCAAAGCTACTTTGAAGGAAGTTCTTAAGTACTTGATCGAAGCAGAGATCATTTTGAGTCACGAGCCGAAAAATTCCGTCGAAGGCATTATGGGAAAGGCAGCCAGAGACGCCATTCTTCAAATAAAGGATTGGGAGAAAATTGTGGGAAAAATCAGATGAGATAAATAAAATATACTATTTTCATTTGAGGATTGCAGATGATATTCTTTCAGCAAAAAAAAAACAATAATCATATAAATGTATAATATAATTGAAATCCCTAAACAATAACAAAATTGTGCAAGAATGGATTGCTGCAAATAACTACGATACAAATTTTAATGAAGAACGGTTATTGTACGCAGATAAACTATCTTGACCTGACTGAATAATTTTAACTGTATAAAAGTCTAAATCTTCAAAACCATACCCATACAAGATAGTTGCGGGAGACAAGACAAGACAGTTTGGGGAGATTTGGCAGGTAATAATAAAAAGCTTACAAAAAAAAACTAAACACTAAAAATAAAAGATGAGACCTAATTTGAAACGATAAAAAGTGTCTCATTATTGGTGATTGATGCTTACATTTTCGGGCATAAAAAGATTTTCGCCATTGGTAAACCGCTTATAAAAAATTGGTTAAATAAAACCCAGCAAAACTACTAGGAAGTTAACAAATCGCGATTAATAAACCGGAATACTTGATCGCAAAAGAGTGGAATGAGAGTTCACATAAGCCATGAGATGTGAGCTTAAAAATTGAAACCACCCTTAGGCATTTCCTGAGGGGGCGATGCAAATGTAATTTGACCATCCTGAGTTGCTGGAGCCGGCATGTCAGCTTCTTGTGTCTGGTAACAAAGTAAAAACGTGCTTAAAATCAGCTCTAATGCTTAAAGGAAGCAGCAGTTTAACAAAAAGATATTCAAAGTCAACATTTTCTTGGCTATAAAACTATCAAAAAATGGTATTTTTTCCTTACCTCGCTGAAATAGTTTTCGATGATGCTCAAAGCTTTGTCGTAAATATTTTCATTGTCATGAGCTTGCAGTGCTTCGATCAAATCGAGTCCTCCACACTCCTCAATCAAAATAGCAACCTTATCGGTCTCTCCCAATTTGTGTGCAGCGCTCAAAATATTATCTAGTCCATTCAGAACCACAGACACGATCTTATAATCCTTTGAGTTGAGCAAGTTGCACATAGGTTTAATACAGCCCATCTAAAATCCAAAAGAACAATACATTAATAACAGCAATTAAGCAATCGGTTTGCATGTACTAATTTGATAAACCAGCAAATAATGAAAATGACACAATTTAAAAATATGCAATTTAATCACCTCAACTAATTTTATTAATTGTGGTATGCTTCCTCCGCTAGTAAAGTTTGTTACGGTCCAGGCAGCTTCCTTTTGGCTTTTAAAATCACCAGTAGACAAAACATGCAAAATAACTGGCATAATCCCAGCGTTGATCACCTTCTCAATTTGTGTAGAGTTCCCTAAACAATAGAATAATTCGGCGAAATTCAAATTTAATGTATAGTAAAACTTTAAATATTTTTGAAAGTAGGTACCTGCTGTAATATTTGAAAGGGTCCAAGCAGCTTCTTTGACAATATTCAGTCGCGGATGTTGCAGAAGCTTAGGTAGTACGTGTAGAACTCCGGCATTTATTACAACGTCAGTTTGTGCATCGTTACCAGTTACGATATTTCCTACAGCTCTTAAGGCCGGTGTGAGCACTGTGCTTTCATTGCTCGTAAGGAGTTGCACCAATCTGTGGAAGAATTAATGTCCAATTTTACTTCGAAGTAAAACACAAAAATTTGGAAATATAATACCTGGATATCAAGCCTGCTTCTAACACAGCTTCAATCCGCTCGTTGCTGCCGTCCGTTAAATAAGAGAGAGCCCAGCAGCTATCCGCTAGAACATCCCTAGATTGAAAAAATCGATGTAATGAACAATAGAAACTACGTAGACCTGATACTATTAAAATAGGTTGCTCGTGTTTAAGAACGAAATTATAATTTAGCAGTAAAAATGTCAATAGACATCGTCTTGATAAATATTCTTTGCGATGTTAATACATACTTATCAGTGTAGGATAGCAATAGGGCAAGAGTAGGCAAAATAGGCCTAACTCTTTCAAAGTCCGGAGCCGGATTCTTGTTTCGGCAGAGATTTGAAACAGCCCAAACAGCGTTCCTCATTAGTGATATGCTAGTATCAGCATTAATGAGTCTTAGGATTTCGGGCAAAACTCCAGAGGCCAGCACCATATCTCTAGTTAATGCCCCATCGCCAGCAATGTTACCTGAACAAAAGCATTAAAATTTACACACTTTCATGAATATTTAAAAAAAAACCTGAAAAAACCAATAGAAGAAAATTGAGACACATCACTTCAGGCAGTCCTTCGCTTAACAAAGTCTAGTTGGCAAATGAAAATAACATTTAGGAAGAGATAGAAATTGATACAAACATATACAATTTAAAATATTAATTATAACTAACGACTTTATCGCTTTATCTAAATTTCATAAAGCACTTGATATTCTCACCTAAAGCCCACACAGCTTGCTCGACCACATCTATACGTGGAGATTTCAAAAGAAGCTGCAGCTTCGGAATCGCACCTTCGTGCACAACGGCAGCAGTTTGTTCGGATGTTCCGGAAGCTATATTGGTCAATGCCCAACAAGCTTCAAATTGAAGAGCAGGACTAAAAAAATGGTTACCGATGTCAGTACAAATTGAAATTGTATTTATTTTGTTCAGAACCCATTGAAACGATGAATCTTACTTATGGTCCTTTGACAAAAAATCAACACATCTTGGCACCACACCGAGCCTAATCATTTGATCAATGGGCGGATTGCGTTCTCTACTGAGAATTTTTCGACAAGATAGAGTTGCCTGTAGTTGGATTGATTCATCTGGGTTGATCATTCCTAAAGAAAAGTTTAATCCGATTTGTAACTTCAAACAATTCAAGTATTTACTTGGTAATTATGAGATGCAAAATGATGTCAATGTATTAACTATTAGAATGCATACGATATTTAAAGGTTTTTTTTACATAAAAATATGCACTCATTATCAATTCATAAACGTTTCAACAAACAGTTTTTGAGGCAAATGTTAATATAAAAGACTTTTAAAATTAAATATGATGTATGAATAGCTAGATACTTTAAAGAGAAGCTCCTTTAATTTAAGAAAATTGGAAGTGTCTTCTGAGAAAGCTCTAAAATTCACTTACCATACATAATTTCTTCAGCTTTCATATGCACCGGACTGGTTGCCTCGTTTTCTAGTTGAGGAGAAGTGGGTTCTTCATCAACTGAAGAGATGTTCCTTCTTTTCAGTAGTTGATCATCTTTCCTGGCCTTTCTAAGTTCGATTGTTTGTCCAATCCTTCTGCGGCGCATTTCCTAAGTAAAAACGAAATCTTTAGATAATGGAATGCTTAACTTGCTAGCTATATATTTACCTCACAGTCTTTCCCTTTGTTCTTGAAAGAACGAATTCTATTTTCTTCTGCCATGATTATTGACCTGCACCAACAAACATTTTCACTTTATTGTCATACGAATATAAGCAGAGAATTCCGTTGAAATAGTGGAAATACTATTCGGTTTTAATGTAACTGATAAAAAAGGGAGAAGAGTCAAGAAAGATCCTGAATGTATAATCAAACTTAAATTGCGTCGTACTTCGATAATTGAGTACTTCCTTCAATAGCGTCGAACTTAATGTACTTACCTAGGTTTAGTAAATTAATTATAAATGAAAATTAGAAAACTATTAAGAAAACTTGCAAATTATAATTGGGAGTCCGTATTCAATAATCGAGAACAGCTTCCAAATGGCGGTTAACCGGGAAAAATGAATTGACTTCTGTCTGTTTGACATATAAAATTGGCAAATGTCCCAAAAAATAGAAGAATATTTTATTTTTCGCTATTTTTTCCTTTGCACGGTTATTTTCGAATATTTGTAGAATATAAATTTTCGTAGAACGCAAAAGAATTGGGCTCAATATTACTGGCAATTTAATGAAAATTTACTCCAACTCCCTGACGATGAAGTTCATTATTACAGAAGAAATATTGTCTCAGGACTTAACCTATTGACATTGAAGGTTAGTCCCTCATTATACTAAATAATTTTTTCCTTGGCCCCTATTAAAACTATGAAGATTCACAGTTGAACACTCCAATTTGAGAATGCTCCGAGTATTTGCCGTTAATTTAATTGCCAAAAGGTTTGCAGGGCATTCCAAGTGGGCAAATATTCGTCATGTTAAAGGTACTAAGGATGCCCAAAGGGGCCTCTTATTTGGAAAACTGTCCAGGCAGATAAAGGTGGCAGTTACAGGCAAGTGGTCATCTCACTTAGCAATTTTCCATAGTGTTTGGGTTGTATATTCTAGAAGGGGGTTCTATTGATCCCACAAAGAATCCTAAACTCAAACAAATCATAGATCAATGTAAGAGATTTAACATGCCATCGGCCACAATGCAGAGTGTGCTGAAAAGTTGTTCAGCAGATAAGACCGTTATGAAACTATGTACTTTCGATTTTAAGTAAGTATTTAGATCAAGTAAGCTTTCAGAAGGGAAGAACATACACATTTAATAGTGGCGGGCAATAGTCAGTCTAATGAAGTTATTAAAATTATACTAGCATTTACTTTACTCCTGTTCGTACTAGGTTTCTATATAAGGTATTGCATAACGCAATATTATCACGTATGGACAATCTTTGGTTCAGAATGAAAGGACTTAGACTATTTTGCCTCTCATTAAACTGGACTTTGTTTTTAGAGGACCTGGAAGCTGTATTATGGTGTGTGAAATGCATACAAGTAATACACATCATTCGAAACAACTTTTAGCCACTCTGCTAAGGAAACATAAGTAAGTAACAATTTTTGAAAATTTTTTTGGCGTGACAATAAATACTGCAGCAATTTATATATCGGGTGTGCAATAAATATATCGGTGTTCAATTAAAGTCCATCGCAAATATTAGCTTGATGTCCTGAAATGAAATATATATAAATAAAACAATTTTTTGAACTAATATTTATTGAAATTATAACTTTTGTTTTAAAATACAAATTTAATCAATGACTTGGATGAACGTGTTGCGATGCTATAGCGTATTTAGGTCCGGCTAACTTCTAGTCTTTTTGTGACAAAGCTCATAACGGCACTTAATCTGCGTTCTACAAAATAGAAAAGCAGAAACGCAATCAAAAGCTTCTGTTCTAAAACCCATAATGCTGGATATAAAATTGGAATCTGTTTTTATAAGCAGAAATTGTCGTCTCGTTGTTTAGACATTGGTTTCAGCTACTCATTTGTGGTTAATTCAATAAGTTGCTCCTGTATTAGTATGTATTCATCTGCATTTGTGCTCTGAGTTTGATTCGCTGCCAAAGGGTTCTATTCTATAATTTTTCTATTAAACCGAACCATCGAAACCATTTAAAGAACGGTATGTTAATATCTAAAACATCAATCAAATATCAATGGGCAAGGTAACCGATTAATTTACGATTCCACTCTTGGCGCATTTTATAACAAAATTGTTACGTATGTGGTACGATGTATAAAATATCTTGTCTTCATTCGCACTTTATCGGGGCTTCTGAAAAATCTTTAATGACTCGAACAAGGTGTTTTTTCAACCAACCTGAGTGTACTTTTCCATTGGAATTTGAATAGAACAGCTGTGACAATTTCATTCAGGGACTGCCGAGGGAAGATCGTTATACTATACGTTATACTCGCAAATTCGGTATACTATTAGTTCATATTCATTAAGAGGATAAACTTTCTTATTGAATAGAACCGACAAAAGTAATAATATGACAAACTCTTATAACAACTTTACTTTTAACTTTCTAGGGCAAAGTTTATAGACGGTTCTGGATTACATTTGTTTGAAGAGAAGGGCATTATACAAGCGGAGAACGAAACGTTGTCTTCTAAACCTGAAGAGGAGCAATTGGAGATGGCAACAGAACACGCAATTGAAAGCAACGCAGAAGAAGTTACAGTTGAAGATAAAATATTTAGTTTTCTCTGTAATAAAGATCATTTTGCGCAGGCACAAGACAACTTGGAGAAATTCGGGTATCAAATAATTACCGCATCCGTCGATTATATTCCGCAAAAGACGCAACGTTTGAATGAATCTGAATTTGCCGCGTATGAAAAGCTAATGGGCAAGTTATATGAAATGACGGAAGTTGTGAGAGTGTTTGATAATGCCGAACCAAGTTCCTGATTTGCTGTTATTTGCTATAGAATATGCAATGTTCAATAAAATTTTATTATTTTATTTGTTGAATTTAATTTTTTTTTCTAATAGACTACAGAAGTGACAACCACAGACTACATACTATTATGTGACAACTTAAAAACTTTACATATGAGAGGCGCCTTTATACATAAAGTTAAACATTTGTAAATAAATAGTGAATATATTTAAAAGTTTAACGAGCGTCTTGTCTAGCTTGTGACCATATTGCAAGCCACAAAATATCCCCCTGGGGTATGTAGGGGGTATGTTCTGTGTTGCAAGCTTTTGAAATCAATTTCGGGCTCTTGTGGATAACCTAACATTTTGTTGTTTTGTCAACTTTTTGTATTTGAATTGTTGAAAAGGCAAGAGTAAAGTAACACAAAGCTGTTTCCCGGTGTTCGGTGTTTTGCCAGGCACCTCAAATTGGTTAAATTCGAATACTAGTGCTATTTCGTTAGAATAATATACATAATGGAGATAGAAATGGAAATTATTGTGCACACTTTAAGGGAGCATGCAAAGGACAGCTCTAAGGGCCCTCGGGAATGTGTGAGACTCTTATCTATTCTAAATTCTCGCCTAACAGAAGAACAACTAAATTATAATATAGGTAAATCTTCTTTTATTGTTTTATTAAGGAAATCAGAGAACCAAGTGCGTTTGCCACTATATGGGCAATATCCAGCTAACTTATAGCAAATATTTAAGAGTTTCGTAGCTGTAAAAGTTAGTCAGCACTCTAATAAGTCCTGGTTATGTTTGATTTAAGATGCAGTGACTGAACTATTTTTTACATACTCAGTTTTGCCTGTTTGAATTCTCTGAACCTCAACTTGGAGTCAGTTAAAAAACAGCCAGTCTCCTTGTATGAGAATCTACTCCTCAGTATTCAGTTAGTTAAGAGTTCTGCATCAGGACATTGAAATATTTTCTTAATATCCCTGTTTGGTTTAAGTTTAACCTGAGGTTTTCAGCATCAACTTCAATTGATCAGATTATTATTACTTATGCCGGAAGTTTCAAGTTCATTTATAACTTCATCATTAATCAGTTCGTAAAACTACATAATTTTTAAAGAAAAAGTGTAGTTTGACGCTTTTTCCACTCAGTCGGCGATTATTTAATGAGCTCCATGGTGAGCAGAGTTGTTTTAAAAAGACAATTTTTCCAGTCAACACCCTAACGTCCAGTCACGTGATTATCACGTATTGTTCCGAGATTCATACATGGGATATTTTCGTTCGAGAGGGCCGTCAATAAGACGTGGTTCTCGGCCACAATCTCGACGTATAATTCACATGTTTTCAAGCTGAAAAATGCTTTATTTTATCAGAATAAATATTCAAAATTAACATTTTGATTATTGTATTCCAACCAGCATTCAAACTAGAAGGAACTTGCAGAATTCGCTTAAGAGCGCAAATACTTGTCAGAGAAGAAAGACTCTAGAAACTCGAGAATAATATTTTATACATCGTGGTAGTGGAAATTCGACTAGTTTTCCATAAGATAACAACATTTTAGCTTCCACCCCTGACACCGCCCATTTTTCAAATGCATGATTTAATTTAAAACATACATTTGTATACATTTAAAGCAAAATAAAACAGTTGAATGTAGATGCCCTTTTTGATTGTTATGTAACACTATTTAAGGTGTTTGTATGCGATAAAATCGAGCTCAAACAACAATCAATGGGTATTAAATCGAGGCATACTGAGAGCCAATAAGAGACAATTATTCTGCGTTTATTTTTTCCATCGTGTTGCTCTTTCCTTAGGGGCATAGCAAAAATCTAAGATAGAGGATTGCAAAAAGACATTCTGTACACATAATTTCGTTGTGAGCGCCGATTCAAAGCCAAAAGGACTCTGTTTATTGTTATTTAACAGTAGAGTGGGAGTTTATAATCGATATGGTTTAAATCGAGTACCCTAAACTACAATCAATGGGTGTTGAATCGGGGCGTACTCATGGCCAATAGAAGACAATGAATGTGCGTTTTCGTGCTCTAGAATGTTGATCTTTTAAGGTCTTATTGAATTTTCATGGAGAGTCATGGTTGATGTCGCTGTTGTCTTACGAGTAAAGTAGCTTTTTTGTGAGACTTTTTTAAAACTATTTTTCCTGTTCTTCTTATATGCTCTCAGGCAACAACTCTAAAGGAATGACAAAGTTATAGTCACCCTATGACTTGACCTAAGACTAATAGCTAATGCTTCAAACTGGGAAACTATTCGAGATTATAGAAATACTAGTTTCTTTGGCATTAGTATTTGTTTTATTTTGCTATTGCGTCACGGAGCAATACAATCTTTACATTCTGTTCATGTAGCATTTTATAATTTTTATATTAGAAACCTTTTGTTCGCAAAATGACAAAAAAATAAATTTTTCCTCATTTATCAAAATATATACTTTTGGGGCCATTCCTTGAATCTAATGGGTTTTTCGGGTTTTTAGGCCGTCGTTCGGTAGAATTTTCTCCTGATATTTCGCAAGCACGAAGAAGTGCATCTTCAGAAGTGGTTTGCTTAAACGCTTAGATCGGATCAGTGTAAGCCTTCAAAAATCAAATCTACCGAACGACGGCCTAAAAACTCGAAAAACCCATTTGTTAACTTTTTACTTCTGTAAACATTCTTTTGCCAATCAATCTAATAAATAATGTCGTTCGTGTTGGAAGCAGTACTCACTTAATTCAATGCAAAAAAAACCTGAATTCAAATGTAAACTCTACAATAAGAAGAACGATTGTACCGTTCTAACGTTATTTTCATCCACTCTGTATATCAGATCGAAATATCCTGGGTTTAAAGCTAAAAGTGACAAGTCCAAAATTGCCGTATTTGTGTTTGTTGGCCAAGTAATTTAAAAAAACAAAATCTTTGTCTTCAAAAACTGAACGATGATCACTTATATCACTATATAATATGTTTTTAATGACCAAGTTTCCAAAAGGATTCTGATATAATTGTTGGCTCGGTTTAAAAGTGCATTCACCCAAAATTGATATTTTAGACTTGTTTTTAGCTTTAAGCCCACAATATGTTCTATCTACAACTTTTATGCAAATGTTATTTTCAAGTGGCAGAGTGTAGTCTTGATTGAATTTATTGGAACCTGGGAATATTGGAGAATTTTGAGAATTGCTCGATTGAAATTTATAGAAAAAACTTATATTTATAGTGGGTTCTTCATGATTACAATACAGAATGTACAACTCTAATTAAATGTGAAAATAATATAAAACATTAATGATCTACAAATTTTTATATGCTTGCCTATAATTGTTTTTTTGCAGATTTGCTTATGGTTCACATATGCCACGCATCCGATGGTATATTAAAATTTGTTTTGGAAGTATTGTCCGATTCAAAATTCGATGGTGCTTCCGTTGTTTCACTCGAGATACTTTATACATTAATTAATAATTTCCCTACCAATATCAAAGAGTATATTACTGGTGAGTTGGTCCGGCATTTCTATTAAAGCTCTGTTGCTTCCGTTATCTGTGATGAGAAATAGATTCTAGGAATGTGCCATTAAATTGTAATTAAATTAAATGTACATTTTCAGATCTTAATGATGATATTTTAAAAATTCTGAACATCAAAGGATCGGCAAAAGTCAAAACCAAAGCGCTGGATGTTCTTATATTAGGTTTTGAAAAAGTTTCACCAGAAGCGCAAAATCTTGAAAGATATTCAGCTTGTTTTCGTAACATTCACAACTGTTTGATTCGAGACATTCACCCACCCTCAGGTAAAAGTATCTAGCGTAATGCAAAGTTCATTTTATCTTTCTGGGGACATTCGTAAAAATCACTCATATAATATTAACTAAAATTCCGCAATTTCAGTTCGGCAAAAGGAATTTGTCGCTGTAGGAATGTTCGTCAAAATGTTTGAGGCTTTGGTCCCAGAACCTTGTAACATTATTTGTTATTACATTACACAGTTAGATGCGCAAATGGTCAACCGTCCATCACAGGTAAGTTTTTTTTATGATACTACACCCCACAAACGCTGATTTAAAAATTCCTTATTTTACTTATTTCTGTTGTTTTGTTTGAATATTGTTATTAGAATCTGAAGACATTTTTTAGCTTTTAACTTTTGAAAAGGTTGTATCTCCGTTTATCAATCAATGTGTTAATATTAAACTTATGTTGAGACCATGACCTGACCAACGCCAAATTCGCACCACCCCCGGGGTCCTTATCATCATTTTGCCAATAGTTATTCAGGAAGTATGTAGGGATAATCTGAGTCTGCGACTGCGATTGCGAATCATTACAGAGAATGCTACTAAATATTGCGCCTATTTGCCGATGAAAATTAATTAGCGATCGAAAGTTATCGTTACGTTCTATCGAAAAGTCCTAGTAATTCCACAGATATTTTTTTGATATAATTTGCATAGATCTTAACTGTTGAACTTCGACGGCATTTTAAAATTTTGTGTTTTCTTTTAGGAAGAGACTAGACTAAGAATCTATCAAAAATAGTTTAATAATTATTCGGATATTTTTACCGTTGCTGAAATACCGTCTTTTTGTGGGTCTTTCAAATCAAAGCCTTGTTCCGATTTGATCGACGGCCGGTACTCGGCTCTTGATCTGCTCGGACCCCAAGATTCAGTTATGTACCTTGAAAACAGTGCGTAGCATCTTAGTTAATCTATGGTAGCATCTCACATAGATATATTTTCAGATACTTGTACAGAAAAATTATTATTTTTTAATTTCTAATCAGTTTGTATGGGGTTCCATTTCGATCAGATAGTTCGTTACAGAGATCTGGTCATTTTGGCGAATGGTTATATTAAACTAGGCCGGGAAGAAATAATTCTTTAGTTAAAATATCTTATCTGAAATTATCCTTATGCTTCACGTACATTTGTAGTCAATTCTGTATGGAATATTTACGGGGCTTGATCATTTTTGTCATAAAGAATTTTTGAGCCTAGAACGACCGGAACATAGAGAGCTTATAAACAAAGTATATGAACATATACAAAATTTGTCTGCGACAAACGACGATAGAAGACATGGAAACAGGGGTACGTAAAGCTTTTTTCTTCTAAAAGTGGGAGCATCGTTCATATATAAATTGTGAATAATTTCAGCTGCAATTGCGTATTTCGGGAATAACATGCATTTATTTAAGTACTTGATCATAAAAAAATATAAACAGTGGCACAAGAGACTGTTAGAACAGTGGGTGAGAAAAAGCGGCGATGATAAGAAAGTGGGTGAAATTGCACTTCAATCACTTTTAAATACTATTGCTACTACTTTGGAAGAATATCCGAAAACTGAATGTTTATCAGTTATAAAAGTAAGTCAACGACAGAACTCCGGAAGAACAATGATGCAATTGATGATTTTATTATAGAAGTAGAAATAACACATCCACATTAAGGCAAAGAAAGGAAAACATATTTTATATTTGAAAATTCTACCAAAATTTGCTCGTCATTGTTCTTCCGGGAAAGCGATATATTCATATTAACACAAATATTTTTAGCATTTTCTTGGTTGGTTCAAATTAATCATGAGCAATACTCAGTCCACATACACCGAGAAAAAACTGTGCATCCAAGGTTTGAAATATTTCAGTTCTCCTTTGCATAAACATGATATGAAGGAGGATGCAAAGAAAATGTTTTCAATGGTCTGGCAAAACTTTGAAGAACTGTATATTTTCAGTGGGGGCATTAGCTTAGAAGAAAGTGAAGAAAGTAATTGTTTGCCTTATTATATTCAGTGTTTAGCTGGTTTTATGAGGCAAGTATAAACCAGTTGTCTGTCAACACTTCTCATTATGTGAATTAACTTTTAACCGAGCAAATACTAATCTTTTATGTTTTCTAGATTTCAACATTTTTCTCACAATGAATTGAGCTACCTTCAAAAGGCTATAGTAATTATGATTAAAACATTTAATACCTTGAAGCCTATTGAACATAAAACTGTAACCGATGCTTTAGTAATTACGCTCTTTTATTTAAAAGGATCCGCCCATTTCGATATTTTTTTGGAAAATATAATATATCAAGGTAAAAATGCAATCGATTTATATTGACACAATGGAAATAACTCGAACTTTTTAGGTGTTATTCGGTCTTGTTCGCATGAACACATTGCGAATGTTGATTTGGATGGAGAACGCGAAAATATTGTTTCAGTCAAGAATTTCTTCCCTTTTTGGCTCAATTTGCTAAAACTAGATACTCCTAATAAATTTAGCCATGAGGGAATTTTCTGGGACGACAGCAAATACATTTTAACAAAAGTCGTTGATTATTTAGTGAAAACTTTAATAATGTTAATTAACAAATTGAACGTCGCTCTCAAGCTAAAAGACGACGTTATTCAGTCGGACATAGAGATGGCATATCAAGTTGATAATCCGAATGACTTTAATATATTTTTGAATGTAACTGATTTTTATCAGGAAATATTTCCTAAAATTCCTGCTGCTCAATTTCAATCTTGCATCTGTGGATTAGTAAATCTTATGGTGATCAAATGTTTAAAATGTCCTTTTGTTAGCGGGTTCTATAAATTACTGTCTCTTTCATTAAATATTGCAAACAAATTGGCAATATTTGCAGAAGGTAAATTGCAATGGCGTTACCTAACTTTCTTAAAATGTTTTGATAATTTTTACCAATTGTAGATCATACAGTGTCAGACCAAGATGTGATCAACTGCAAAGAAACTCTGTCGAAATTTTTATTACATTTATTACACAAGATGAAGCAGTTTAAAGACGATCTGCTAATCTCCTGTTTGTATGTACTGTTAGAAAGTCCAGTATGTATTGTAGAAAATTTGTTGTCGCAATGTGCAGGTATGTTCTCATTTTGTATATAATAAAAATCATTAATATATTAAACACGTACATTTTTTTAGATATATTTATAACAGTCTTTGAACTGGGAAAAAGCTATATTGCTTTAGCTAATATGGGGTTGAGTGCTCTAGAACGCTGGCAGCAAGCTATGGACAAAGCTGTATTTGAAGTTTTGCTGTTGCAAGTCATACCATACTTGGATAGCTATTTACGCAGCAAATCCATGGGTAGGAGGTTTTTGAGAATTTAGTTGTTCTGCTTATGTAGTTTCATTAAACTAATCAATATATTTAAGGTGGTCTGGCGCAAGGGATCCTAGTGGACAAAAGGCGGAAAACAGCGAGGATGTTGAAAAAGCGAATAGTTTTATACGAATTCGATCCAGAATTAGTTGAGTTTCAAACACGAATTTTACGTTTCGTCGGCAAGCAAAACTCGAAAATTTGCCAAGCATTTGTGTCGGCTGATAGTGGTTGTGCGGCAAAGTAAGTTCTAGAGTATGATATTAATTCACTCAAGCTGATGGGTCAATTTGAAATAAAATTAAATCTTTAGTATCCAGGGCAGACAACGTAAATGTAGGTTTTATAATGTATCAGAGTATTATAATGTTTGTATCTTATATAAAGTAACAATTTAAAAATGAGTCCCGTATACATTGGATAAACACTCTGGTAATTTAATAAAGTTACTGAACTTTTGCATGATGGTTTTGGATCATTATCTTCGACTATTAATTTTTGTCTTTAGAATTACCAGCGATACGCTACACTTAAAAGTGATGTTACCTTTTAATGACCTCGTATTAGATATACATTTGGAACCGTTTGTTATGAGAGTTATCGATATATGTTTAAACTCCAGTGATCGAAAAAACAGAGTCATGGCATGCGAACTTCTGCAGGCCTTTGTAGTCATTTTCTTGGGAAGAGGTATGTTTACACTAATACTGAAATTTCAAAATTCCTATTTTCATCATGGTTACCATTTTATAGTGACTAAGCACGTTTTTAATATATACTGTTAGAAATATTTTATTTATTCTAGCTAAAGCTCTTCCGGCTACCAGTCAATCAGACTTAGATGAACTTCTTAAAAGTATAGCAATGCCACTTTTGCATTTAGCGTGCGATATGGATCAAGTAGTGAGACAGATTTTCGAACCTCTTTTTATGCAAATTATCCATTGGTACACTTCGAAAACCCAAAGGCAAGGTCCTCATTTAGCTGTGATAATCGATGTTCTAATGGTAAATATTTGTCGTCAAATTACAATTTTAATTTTTTCAATGTTCTCAAAAAGCCGGTACATTTCTTCGAAAGTTATTTTTGATAAAACGCTGGACATAAAAAACAATTTTTAGGTAGCAGATTGTTAAAATCTAGGCTTGCCAATTAATCTGCTTATCAAGTTACAAAGAAATTAATTTTTCCAGGATGGTGTTACTCATTCAACCAATGCATCTCTTAGAGATTTTTCGGGCAAATGTATCAATGAATTTGTGAAATGGAGCATTAAGCAATATTCTGATAATGACTTAAAGAACAACCCGGAAAGCATCAAAGTTTTGGTTGATAAAATGAGATTTTTCAGCAGACATCCAGATTTAGTTAAAAAAATTGGGGCCGCTTTAATTTTCAATAACATTTATAAAGAGATTAGGGAAAAGAGAACTTTGATTAGTCTTTTTGCTGTGGAAATCTTACATCTATTTGTGATAAGTTTAGATCTGCTGGAGCATTCGAATGAGGAGGTATGAAATGATAGTACATATAATGATTGCACCGTAATTGAGAAATTTGATATCATTTTAGGTCGACAGTACAGTTTTCCAAATTAGGAACTCTATAAATCATTTGAAAAGGATATTCATAGAAAAGTCAAATCTTTTCCGAGAACTTGAGCAGCCTAAAAGAGAGTCGGATGCGTCGAAAGACATACGTATAAGAGATTTAGTTGGAGTTTCAAAATGGTTGCTTTCAATGACTTCGAGTCGAAGCAAATATTGCAGGTTTGATATTTTAAGTACATTGAGAACTAAAGCTTGAACTACTACAACTTTATATTTTATGGTATTTTTTATTATTGATAGAGATTCTTGTATGGAATTGTTCATCCACTTGCAACCTCTAAGCGGCACCCATACAACGTTATCAGGATTTATAGAAGATAATGCTACTAATTTAGTTGCTCAGTATATGGAACACCTACAGAGTTCTCCCACTTTAGCAGATATCAATTCGTATGATTATCCGACAAATTTGCTGAAATGGTTGCAAGATCTGCTATGCTTAGTCGATGGGTATATCTTCATTTTAACAAATTCATCGTACTCCCTTAATATCGATGACAAATCACATATCTTGTCTATTTTATATTTTCTTAAATATGTTCAAACGGCTTCGACTGACGAAGGTAAACATTTAATTTATACGCCCCGTCAGGCAGAACATTTAATGTTTTTATTTAAGCTTTGAATTTAATGAAGAAAGGATTACAAAAACCTTCATATACAGCCGATAACGAGGAGGAATTTTTGAACTTAAAAGCATCCTGCTGCTTAGCTATATTGAAATTAGCCAATTGCATTTTAAGTGATGAAATACTGTGCAATAAAACCTCTGGTTTCTGGAACCCATATTTTTGGAGTCTCATGTCCAATGCTATATTTATCCCGTCATCGTTAGGCTTTGATGGACGATTGACTCAACTTCAGTATAAAGAAGTTTTGCTTCTGCTGTTAAATAATATTCCCAGGAAACTAACAGAGGAACACACATTTCAGTTCGTAGAGATTTTGAAGAAATACACTGCTGACAATTTTAATGCAGATGTTGACTTGAAGCAAGTTAGCTGTGTACAGAGGAATTTACTTAAAGGTGCGATACGGTTTAGTAAGGTATTTTCAAATATTATACAATAAGAGTGTTGGTACATTTTAAAAACTTGGACAAATGTTCTTAATGTCTTTCAGGTTTTTTGTTGATTCGAAAGAGCCGTCTCAACCAGTTATTTAAAGCTGAAGATTTTTCTGTTGGTCAGATAGACAAGCTTCTTAGTTACTTCTTAAAGGAAACTTCCCAGGTTTCTGAGACTAACGAAATATGTATAGCTAGAACTTCCGAGGCGACAACAGAATATTGTAAGCTGGTCTTCGAATTCGCATTAACAGAGCGCCCACAGTTGAGTGCCTTGATTACGCACTTATATAAAAACATCATGGTTCGAAACCAAGAGCATGATAATGTGCAGCCAACCAGATTGGGTTTATATTTATTGCTTGAATTTTCCGATCCCATTGTTAGAGCCTTAGTCGATGGTTTTGATTTGTTTTTGGAAAGTTTCGAATTTACTGATCTGACCATTAAGATCATTAGCGAATTGCTAAAATATTTGGACAGGAATAAGCAAACCAATCCCAAGGAAAGTTTTCAGACAATGTCTATGAAAATTTTGGAAAATTGGCCACTATTTCAAGTGTGTTTTGAAAGATATGGTATTGAAGCTGGTAGGTCTTAGTATATAAGTATAGTTTATTTATTTCTAAGTATAAGTATACTCTAACATACCCATATTTAAAATTGGCGATTTAATTTAGATCTTTTAATGCATCTTTTTAATTCATGTAGGTGTCGCCTAACTTATTTTTATTTTAAATTTTAGGCCTAGATTTGGTCAGTGAAATGTACAGACTATTTGGGCATTATATGAATCACAGTTCCACAATATCCAACTGGATTTTGGGATTGTTTTGTACAGACGCGGCCACATTGAATGAATATAAAGACCTTCATTTTTATTCAAATGTGTTTAATGTTTTGGTTAATGTTGTTAGTGACGATGATTTGGAACTGTTAAAGTAAGCGAACGATATTTTATAATTGTTATTTTATAGAAAATTTTCAGCCCTACATTGGAAAAACTGAAGTCGAAGCTACATTTAGACAATGTGAAAAATTCAATCGTAATACAGACATTTTTATCAACTCTCCCGGAAGTCAAGAGTGCCACAATATTTACATTTTTAATTGAACTTTACATCACCTCAACAGCAGCCTCCAAAAATGAAATTAATTTATCCGATATGCTTGATACTTTTATGTGGAAGATTAGCGACCAATCTCAAAAGGCAGTATTAAATAATATTTATTGCTTAGGATTGGACATCCATAAAGCTTTTGATATCAAGAAGAAATTAATTGACTACGTAGTACCACACATTTTCAGAAAATGTAGATCTAAAGTTTTTGAGGCATTTTTTGTGGAAAATATTAAAGGAATTACAGATGAATTTGAGGAAACTCGCGACTGCAGTAGTAGGCTTTTCTTGTTCTCGCTGCTGGAACTGCTGTTTTTAAGAGTCAACATTGGTTCAGAAGAGCGAAAGTCTTGTCCTATTACTAATGCATATGGAAATAGCAATCTAAGGAAAGACTTGTTGAAAATCACATTGCAGGAATTTAAGAATGATAAAATAGAAGGTTTGTTTGCACACTTTCAATGTTCTGCTCAGTACGTTTTTTTTGGTGTAGTAGTATTGTTTTCTAATAGTATTTCAGGCTTCCAATAATCTATTGATTATAGTGATATGTTGTGCTTGTTCCCTCCAGTACCTATGCAATAAATATATTTTTCTTAGGAAGTCCAGAACAGTTGAGAATTCTGAAGTGCGGGGTTTATAAAGCTTTAGCATCGATAATCACGAATTCATTCAACACTAAAGGTTTCTTTGAAAAATTGTTCGTCAGAGAAGAAAATAACGAAGACATTTTATGGAGTGCACTAATTGATTTGAACGTTACCTACAGTTTTCCTGTCGATTTCGATAATTATCCCAAAAGAAGGAAGATTTTAATTAATATTAGGAATGAACTGAGACAACAACAGGATCAGGACAGTCAGAAATCATTTAAGTAAGTCAATTAGCTCCCGGCATTGGATTACTATAAATATTGATAAACATTTTCAGATACATTGAGTCTCAAAAATTATTGAACAGTTCTCTCAGTGAGGACGTAACAAAATTTGATTTCACAACTAGTGTGCTCAGAACTCATTCTAACATCAATAGTAATAGCGAACCTCAAATAAATCAAGTGAGCAATTTGAATAATAATAAAATTGTTAAGAATAAGAATTGAAAATAATTTATATTTGTATATTGTTCTATACAATAAGTTTGTTATTACAGGCAGAAATTAATTTGGAAAGTACGGAAGTAAATTCTAGCGAAGTAATGGGCACTGTTTGTGGTGTTATTCGATATATGTTTTCTACCCGTATTTACCAAATACCTGAGCATCCAGAGCAGAATGTTGAAATACCGAATTGGATGAAGCGTAATAATGAAGTACTTCTATGGCATAAGATGTATAATTTATTTTATGTTTTTACAGGTATTGCCCAGCTTTTATTAAACCCGAATACTCATGCAAATATAAAAATTTTTTGGGTGAAAGTCATCGACAATATGATTCATATTTTTACACATTTTTCCCGTTTATTTGTGGAGCCGCTACTACAGTTTTTGAATGATAAAATTGCTGGACACTCTCTTAACTATTTTGTTAGCGATATGGTAATGGATGAAAAAATAAATATGCCTTTCAAATAACATTTGTTTTCAGATTGTCATATTAGCATCATGGACGAGTCTGAACCCACCCAATGAAAGAGTTGCGAATATGGCTTCACAGTTTCTGGAGAATGTAATAACCTGTCTTACTAACCATACGCAAAATGTGTTTAAGTACAATTTGGATCTGGTGAGGCTAATAGTGGAAAATTGGAAGGAATTTATTCGGGTTCCTTACAAGACCCTGCAAAATAAGTTGGAATTTGATATAGACAATAGGGAAAATGAAGTTGGAGTACATTTAAGTTCGATATTTTTGGTAAGCACAGATTTGTTAGATTCGTTTCTTTATTTTTTTTGCTCTGAACTTAATCTGCATGACGCAATATAGTCAGCGTGAAAATCAAAATACTGTTGAATCGATGGAAAATAAGCTGTAAAAGAATAAATTACCAACTAATTAGGTAAACCACATATTACCCTGTGCTGTTGAGGATATTAACATTTTTTGGGCAAAAATGGTGCGATTGCTTGGCAGTTCAGTATCGACTATTTATAAGCCATGCTCAGAAACGCTGGGTTTGATGCTCCAATACAGCAAGTTGCAAGGGATAGATGTAAAACCATTCTGTGTTGAAATCAATAAAACATTATTAGGCTTTAATATCGATAAATATGCTCATTGTCTTGAAGGTAAGTGAAGTTCGTTGTTTCATGTTTCAGAGGATACAATTAATTTTTCATATCTAGGAGTAGCTATTCATTTTACTGAAATAATAGATGAATACCACGTTGAAAAAATACTGAATAGATTGCCGTCATGCGATCAGAATCTTCAAATAAAATGTTTGCAGTTAATTTGCAAAGGCGTAGATGTTGGTGTGTTATCCTGCTGCAAAGATCAGGACTGGACCATGTATGTGAACAGCCAAAGAACTGAAGTTCAGTTAATAACACTGGAAATTATTTTAAAGGTAAACCTAAAAAACATTATGTGGCGATATCAGATTCATAAGACAATTGTTTTATTTTTTTATTAGCATTTGGTATCTATTATTTTATTATAATGTATTTCTATTTCAGTGCGTTGGTATTTTAACTGCCACCCTATCATTCAAAGAGCTCCTCAAGGCTGTAGGCAAAAAGGTTTCCAGTCCTAATGTTTTATGTCGAGCAAGAATGTACGATATAATGATCTCTCTATCACAAACTGATATGAAAGATGACCAAATTTCTGCGCTTTGCAACGAAGTAAGAAAATTAATTAATTGTCATCCTGTCCATTGGCATACTGTTAATAATAATAAATAAATAATAATGAACTTTTAAGATTTTGGTTCAAGGCCTTATAGACCCTGACATTGTAACTAGAGAGAATATACGGAAATTCTGGTCGGAAAATCCCGCAATTCCATTAGACGTATCCAGCAAATTCCCTCATTTATTGTCGAATCTTTACTTGCCTACAACGGAAGAACATTTCTTGGGTTAGTATTTAACTTTTCAAGCTGCTTATACGGTCGAGAATCTCCTTATGTATTGAATAATTTTTCTATAAATAAAACTGGACTCCAAAGAGGTTCAACATGAATAATTAAAAAATATATTTCAGTATCTTGATTGATGCTTCATTAATTTCTATAACATTTCATGTATTTCATATTACAGTTAGCAGTTTTTTAAATATTTGAAGCGTAAAACTATTGTAATAATTCACTATGCGACCAGTCTCAAGTTGGTTTGAACTATTCTTTTTGCAGGTCATGTTTCGTATTTTCTGCTGGATTCCATCAGTTTAGAAGAACATGAAAAGATAATTTTTGAGCAACCTTTGGAAAACTGTACATTTCAGGAATATAAATTGCAAACGAACTGGAGGTAATTTGGTTTCAATACAATATTGAATGTTGCACATTGTATTTAAAAATACAGTATTAAAATGACTTTATTTCATACACTTGTTTTTAAATTAAATTTTTATTAAAAATTTTATTTTTTTTAATATACACTGTTTCTTTTTATAGGATACCACATCCATCTATGGTGCCATTGTTTGCTGAAACAATGCGGACTTATTCGGAAGATTCGGATGGTATTTCAGGAGACGGTTTTGAACGTTTGAGAGCTACCGAAGATAATTTAACGTTTGCTCCAACCCATCAGACTATACGAGAACAGAGTATATCACAAATTACAAGTCTTGAAAGTAGTTTGATTGGAGTACGTTTCTAATTATCTGATACAAAGAAATATTGGTCGCAAACTTGATTATTTGATTTGTATTTTTGTATGTGATAATCGACTTTTAAACTTAAAAAATGAAAGAAATTAATGTAGTATTTCTGGTTTACTTGGTAAATGTTGTATTTATAGAAACCAATAGGCCAATCAAGATTGATAAATCCAAATAATGTTCAATTGTCAGAAGACTATAAGTTACCCAAGAAGAGGTTTTTAAAAGATAAGGCAAAAATATCAGCAACTTTTGCGAATAAAGCTATCTCTCAAAGAAGAGAAAATACCAAAAAAAGGTGAGACAGTCACATTTTAAACAATTTCGTATTAAATCAGTTATTTTTAGGCAAGACGCGTTAAAAGAAAGAGATAATAAAGTTACAAGTTACAGAAGTTACAGAAAAGGGGATTTTCCGGATATACAAATAAAGCTCGGTTTTTTGTTGAAGCCGTTACAAATGTTGGTTCTAGTAAGTTACTGATTTGAAAAAGGCATGTAGATTTAAGATTATGTTTTATTTATTTTTAGAGTGATAGTGAACTGTCGAAAATGTTTATTTCAGTTTTGTATAAGAGTTTAAGAAAAGAAGCCATATGTCGAAATGAGGCTTTTACTAGTTTAATAGAAAATAGCATAACAAATATTTTCAAACAATCGATTCAATTCAATAGTAATGTATTCTCCAGTTTGCTGGACATTTTGTTGCAAAGTCAACCAGAAATCGCTGTGGATTCTGCATTGATTTCCACCGTAAGCCAACAAAGCTCTTTAATGTCTGTAGGTAGGTTGTCGTTTTAAAATGTACTTATGGATATACAGACGTTGAGTCAATAAAGTGATTTATTGCAGGTGCGTTATTGATAGAAGAATATTTGATAAATGGTGAAGTCTTGCCAGTTCCTTCTAAAAGAGGTATTATTAATGAAAGCGGAGAAAATACTCATTGGTTGAAACTTGCTGAACTCTACAGAGAACTCGACGAATGGGATATGGTAAATAGTTGCATATGATATGGTATTGGATCAGTATTTGCATCAGACGTACTTTGCAATTTGTCTCTAAAATATCCACGTTTTTTACTATTTCTCTTTCTTTACTGTATCCGTAACTCTGGCTAACATTAAGTGATCCTTGAGTCTTGAAGTTGGACGAACTTATAGGTAAAAGCCATATTTATTGAGAAGACAAACTGCAAGGAAAGTGTGGCCCGTGCCATTGCATTGGAATCGCAAAATAAGTGGCAGAACGCAGCCGAGGAGTATAAAACATTGATAGAGACCGATTTATCCTTAGAGAAACGGGATTTCTATTGCGAATCGCTGTTTAAATGTCTGGCTAATTTAGGTTCGGAATTCAGTCTGTAGTGATGACATATTGCTTATATATCAAGTTAATTTTAGGTAAGTGGGAGCAAATCCCCCAAGCAGTCGATTCTCTTGTACCGGAAAGTGACAAAAGCAGTTGGAATCAGTTATGGGACACTTTATGGTTTCGACAAAAAATATTGCCTTGGTATGTCAGTGCTCAGGTAAAAAATGCGATTTTTGCAAGTGGCGATGGTACTAATCAGTTTATTCTGGATGTTAAAACCTCGATACGTAAGTAAATAAATTAAACGTTCAGTACATTAAATTCTTAACCTGTAGCACTTAAGAGCCATAAATTTAAAAGCACATAAAAATGTTGATTTTTATTTTAAAATCAGCCGAGCAACAAGTCGCTGTAATTTTATTATATTAAATATCATTAATGGTTAGTGGAGGTTCCTCAAACATGTGCTCTTAGCACATGGAATTTTCCATGTGACTTCTGAAAGAGAAACAAACAAACTTTATCATTTTAGAAATTATTTTATAATCATATTGTAACGGAAATGGCCTGGGGTACTCACGTTTGGAATGGGGAATCGAAATTCATGGTGTTTCAGTAAATGGGAGCCCCATTTGGGCCCCATTTACTGTCAAATATGACACTGACAAGCGGGAAGTTTCGCACCTGTTCTGGAGATTTCTAGAACTATCTGGAATACCAGACCAGGGGGAGTGAAGTGACAGCCGCGCCTGAGTGCAGAAGAAGTTAAACCCGCGAGTCGGAAACGCGTGTTTTCCGTGTGTTATTGTTATCGTTTGTGAAGTTGACGTTAATTTTAGAAGTTAGTTTGTTCCTGTTCCGTAGTTAAAGTTGTACCGAGTGGAATAAAAGTTGTAAGTTGAAGAAAGAATTTGATACTCGGCCATCCACG